ACTGTTGCTAGGGCTGGAGTGCAGTGGCAGAATCTTGGCTCACCGAAGCCTCCGCCTCCCAGGTGCAAGTGATTCTCCTGCCTCAGCCTTTCGAGTAGCTGGGATTACAGGTGCCCACCACCATGCCCAGCTAATTATTTGTATTATTATTATTATTATTATTTTGGTAGAGATGGGGTTTCACCATGTTGGCCAGGCTGGTCTTGAACTCCTGACCTCGTGATTCACCCGCCTTGGCCTCCCAAAGTGCTGGGATAACTCATTCCTTTTCCTCTCGTTGGAGCAGACAGCTCCTAGCAGCCTCCTGCTCAAGTGGCAAGGAGAGGAAACAGCAGCCACAGGCAGATTGTTTGGAGTGGATGGGAGGAAGACAGGGCGTAAAGGAGGCTTGGGACTTGGAGTGAAATGAGAGGGCGAGTATTTACATCTTATATTTACATCTTAAGAGGAAACACTTTCAACCAGGTATGGTGGTTCATGGCTATAATCCCAGCAGAGGCAGGAGGATTGTTTGAGCCCAGGAGTTCCAGGCCAGTCTGGGCAACACAGCAAGAACCCCATCTCTTAAAAAAAAAAAAAGAAAAGAAAAGAAAGAGGGGCCAGGCATGCTGGCTCATGCCTGTAATCCAAGTTCTTTGGGATGCCAAGGTTGGGGACCACTGCAGTGGGAGACCCTATCTCAAAATAAATAAATAAATAAATAAATAAATAAATAAATAAAAATTGGCCGGGTGTGGTGGCTCACACCTGTAACCCCAGCACTTTGGGAGGCCGAGGTGGGCAGATCATGAGGTCAAGAGATCGAGACCATCCTGGCTAACATGGTGAAACCCCGTCTCTACTAAAAATACAGAAAACTAGAGTGCGGACAACTTCAGGAATTTCTTCTGACATTTAACGAAATGGATTAAAATAATTCGGTGATAGAGGACTCTACTGTTTGCTGTGCAAAGGGTCAAATGGCCTTTTAGACACTCTCCCCTCTGGGATAGCCCCGCCCCGCCCAGCCCCTCTGCCCTGAGGTGGGGTTGATGCTAGGACCTGCTTTTCCATCCCCCGCCCTCTCATTTCACTCCAAGTCCCAAGCCTCCTTTAAGCCCTGTCTTCCTCCCATCCACTCCAAACAATCTGCCTGTGGCTGCTGTTTCCTCTCCTTGCCACTTGAGCAGGAGGCTGCTAGGAGCTGTCTGCTCCAACGAGGAGGACCAATGACTCTCATTTGTGGGGTGCTCCTTGTCTTGACCTCGAGTTTCGTTTCAAGCCCTTTGGACGGTTCCCCTTTTTTCTTTTGAGACCAAATTCTCCCACTGTCAGCCAGGCTGGGATACAATGGCATGATCGTAGCTCACTTCAGCCTCAACCTCCCAAGTCTCAAGTGATCCTCCTGCCTCAGCCTCCCAAGTAGCTGGGATCACAGGCACGGGCCACCATGCCCAGATGATTTTTGTATTTTCTGTGGAGATGGGGTCTTGTCACGTTGCTCAGGCTGGTCTTCAACTCCTGAACTCAAGCAATCCACCCACCTCAGTCTCCCAAAGTGCTGGGATTCCAGGCATGAGCCACCGTGTCCGGTGCTATGAGAGGGCATCTGAGCAGACACTGGGACAAGGTAGAGTGTGAGCCATGTGCATGTCCGGGGAAAAATATCCAGAAGGGTAGGAGAGACTCGGAAGGGACACGAGCTCTGTGTGGGCTGGATGTGTCTGTTGAGTGGATAAATTCCTGGGGGGTTTTGGGCTGTGGCTTGGCTGTGGCTTGCCACTGAGAAAGTTCTTTTTTTTTGTTGTTTTTTGAGTTGCAGTCTTGCTCTGTCACCCAGGCTGGAGTGCAGTGGCATGATCTTGGTTCACTGCAATCTCTGCCTCCCAGGTGCACAATTCTCCTATCTCAGTCTTTGGAGTAACTGGGACTACAGGCACGAGCCACCATTCCTGGCTAATTTTTGTATTTTTAGTGGAGATGGGGTTTCACCATGTTAGCCAGGCTGATCTTGAACTCCTGACCTCAAGTGATCCACCTGCCTTGGGAAAGTTCTTTTTAAATTTCAGTTTCACATTGGTCCTTTAAATAGAGGACTAGGCTGTGAGCCAGGCCATCAGGACAGGTTGTCTGCTTTCCCACTGGTATGGGTGGGCTGCAGGGACCGCGTTGCTAGGACTAGAAATGGCTTCTTGAGGCAGGTGCTGCATTCGTTTCTGGGGCTGCTGTAGCAAGATACCATCAACAGGGTGGCTCAAACCACGGGAATTTATGGTCTCACCGTTCAGGAGTGCTGGGATGACAGGCGGGAGCAAGGATTCCCTTTCCTTGAAAGTGACTCATGTTTACCTTGCTTTCCTCCCTCCCTCCTTCTCTTTCTTTCCTTCTCTCTCTCTCTCTCTCTCTCTTTTCTTTCTTTCTGAGACAGAGTTTTGCTCTTGTTACCCAGGCTGGAGTGCAATGGTGCAATCTCGGCTCACCGCAACCTCCGCCTCCTGGGTTCAAGCGATTCTCCTGCCTCACCCTCCTGAGTAGCTGGGATTACAGGCATGTGCCACCACGCCCGGCTAATTTTGTATTTTCAGTAGAGATGGGGTTTCTCTATGTTGGTCAGGCTGGTCTCAAACTCCCGACCTCAGGTGATCCACCCGCCTCAGCCTCCGAAAGTGCTGGGATTACAGGTGTGAGCTACTGTGCCCGGCCCACTCTGCTTTCTTCTCAGTCATTTCACCCTCTCCCTGGTTTGGTAACTGAAGCTTTCTGAAATGAACCAGTGTCAGGCTCCAGTGAGGACTCCATCCCCAGTTCAGGAAGCACAGAGGTGGAGCATATTCCCCTGGAGTTGTTGATGTGCAGCTGACTTCTCTCAAGGTTGTGTGCCTGTTTTGGAAAACTTTTGTTTGCAAGACAACGTGAAAGAAATCCTTGAAGCACACAGAGGGCCATGTGGATATTACATTCTGGCCGTTGGTTCCCCAAGAAAACAGCAACCTCTAGAAAGCAAGTCAAATTTGTCAGCGCAATCCAGGAACAGTCCTTGGGGTCTGATAACTTTAAGAGCCGTCATGGGAAGTCATTCAGAGCACTGAAGCAGAGGATCAGGTCAGAGGAGTCTACCTCTCAAAGGAAAGATGGAGAAGAACTATCGCCCCACTGCCCACCCTGGGCTGCTCAGCTGGGCAGAGAAACAGCCAGGGATATTTTAATTCAGATGCTCAAAGTTGACTAAGTTGCCAAAGGAGGATGATCTGCAGTGATTTTCCACCTGGAGGCAAAGAGGGACAGTGCGTGGAAACAGGTCTGCAGCCCCAGGACTGGGTTTTCAGCTGTTTTTTCCACCCTGGAGTCTACTGCATGCACCACAGACAGCCGTGGAACCCATAATAAGGTTCCAGAAGGTTTTACTGCTAAATTCGTGTCAGAGCTCCAGGGAACACGTTCAGATATAGTCACACTGAGTCAGAGCTCGAGGGAAGAGCTGTAAGCTGGGAATGGGAGAAACGGTGACAAGGTAGCGGCCTCTTCTGGCAGCTTCCAGAGGTGTCCTCAGTTAATGTGGCATCATCACTCGAGGCAGGACCTAACGCTTACCTGGCACTTAGTATGTTACGGTCGCTGATCCCAGTAGTCTACAAAAACAATCCTCACAGCAGTGGAGGTAATTTTGACATAGGGGCTGTTTTTTTTTTTTTTTTTTTTTTTTTTGAGACGGAGTCTCACACTATTGCCCGGGATGGAGTACAGTGGCCTGATCTCCACTCACTGCAACCTCTGCCTCCCAGGTTTAAGCAATTCTCTGCCTCAGCCTCTCTAGTAGCTGGGATTACAGGTGCATGCCACCATGCCTGGCTAACTATTTTTCATAGAGACAGGGTTTCACCATGTTGGCCAGGCTGGTCTTGAACTCCTAACCTCGTGATCCACCCGCCTTGGCCTCCCAAAGTGCTGCGATTACAGGCATGAGCCACTGTGCCTGACCGTCCCCCTCCCTGCTTTTTTTTTTTTTTTTTTTGAGACTCTCACTTTGTTGCCCCGGCTGGAGTGCAGTGGTGAAATCATAGCTCACGGCAGCCTTGAACTCCTGGGCTCAAGGGATCCTCCCACCTCAGCCTCCTGGGTAGCTGGGACTACTATCCTGCTGAGGGTGCGTGGTGGGAGTGTCTTGTTATGTTGCCCAGGATGGTCTCCAGCTCCTGGGTTCAAGCAGTCCTCCTGCCTCAGCCTCCCAAAGTGCTGGGATTATAGGAGGGAGCCACTGTGCCTGACCAAGGAAGGGTTTATTATTTTCCAAATTTTGCAATGAGAAAACCGAGTCCCAGGGAAGTTGGTGACTTTGCTCAAGGTCACAGACAGCTGGGACTTGAATTTAGGCAGCCTGGCCACAGAACCACACCATCAACCCTTGTGTTATACTGTGTTTTGTAAAATGACAGATGGCTGTGTGATGCAATGTAAGCATATGGCAGAGTTCCGTGCTCAGGATATAAAAAGAAGTGTGTGTTGCCTTTCATGGTCATCTCTAGCTCATGACCTGAACTATTCTTTCCAGAGACCCTTCCTTCTCCCACTGGGAAAGATACAATATTTGACACCTGAATAAATAGTCTTTAAGACACCAGTTTATGGGGCTCTTTAGAATCTGTGGCTGGGTGCAGTGGCTCATGCCTGTAATCTCAGCACTTTGGGAGGACAAGGCAAGAGGACTGCTTGACGATGGGAGTTCAAGACCAGCCAGGTCCACATAGCGAAACCCCATCTCTACAAAGAATTTTAAAAATTAGCTTGGCGTGATGGCACACGCCTGTAGTCCCAGCTACTCAGGAGGCGAGATGGGAGAACTGCTTGAGCCCAGGAGTTCGAGGCTGCAGTGAGCCTGGGTGACAGAGTGAGACCTCATCGATTAAAAAAAAAGAAAAGAGAAGAAAAGAAAAAAGAATTTGTGTTGCGTGGGATCGGAGAGTTGAAACAAAGACCGAGAGGTTGTCCAGGGCCGTCTTCAAGGCTGAGAAACAAGACTCCACTCTGGGGCAGCTGCAGTCTAACTTTATTCATCCGCTCACACCTAGGTCCCTCCCGGCCCCCACATCACCTAGCCCTGCTTACTGAGGGCTTCCAAACAACCCAAGATGGGACGTCGGGGTGGCTTTGCTTATCCTCCAGATGCCTCCTTCCCCGGATGTGACCCACGCCCTCCAGGATCTAAGGGAGGAGGACTAAAGGGGTCTGTTCCTCCAGGCAGCAGACACGGAACCGTCTGTGTCAGTGGCTGCTTGGTGGTGATGGTGTAGATGGGTGCGGCTCTCTGTTTGCGGCGGGGTATTCAGCCAGGATGTAGAGGAAGCCACCCAGGGCTGCCACCGCTGTGGCTGTGTTGTGGGAGGAACAGCCATCTATGGGGAGAGAGGCCCCTGTGAGTGCCTTTATTCAACAAAGTTCCATTGAAAGTTCAGTTCAGCCGGGTGCGGTGGCTCACACCTGGAATCCCAGCACTTTGAGAGGCTGAGGATGGCAGATCACTTGAGATCAGGAGTTCGAGGCCAGCCTGAGCAACATGGTGAAACCCCATCTCTACTAAAAAATACAAAAAATAGCCAGGTGTGGTGGCGCGCGCCTGTAGTCCCAGCTCCTTGGGAGGAGGAGGCAAGAGAATTTCTTGAACCCGGGAGGCAGAGGCTGCAATGAGCTGAGATTGCACCATTGCGCTCCAGCCTGGGCGACAGAGCGAGACTCCATCTCAAAAAAAAAAAAGTGCTTTTCAGATCTCATTCCAGGCAATTTGCAAGATGCTGTGTGAGCGCTTTGATGCTCCCTTAGGCCCCCTTTGCTGGGCTGACTCCTCTTCCACCAGCTGCTAAGGGCTCCCTTCTCTGGGAGGTATGTCCCTTCCAAATAACTTACCAATATAAGGATAAAAAAGACTGGCCACCTTGTCCTAGGGGGATGACCCTGTTGTGCGATTTATGCTCCCAGGCATTCCCCTCCACTCCTGCAGGGTGATCTGGCCTGAGACTGCATCCTGTCTAGCTCCTGCCTGGGTTAGTCTGCTTCCCTGACTTACCTACCTCCGTAAACCACATGCACTATAATCCTGTCTCATCCGAGATGGGGAAACTGAGGCTCGGGAAGCTGAGCTGAGCTCCCTGGCCCTGGTAACTCCCCAGCTCATTTCTTGACCCCAGTGGCTTCCTCTTAGCTGCCTCTAGTCTTTCTAGTCCCATGTGACCTCATGCCTCATGGAGTTAGAGTCTCAGGCCTAAGCAGTTGCCTGAGATAATAACCCTCAGATGTAGTTAGTTCTTTCAACTCAAAGCGGGCAGCATGCCTTTAGTGTTACCATCTGTCTGCTTGTGGGAGGGAGCCAGGAATTCTTTCCCCACTACCCAGACACTTTGAGAAGGGAAGGGGACTCCAGCCAGGTCCCTTGAAGGAAGGGAGAATGCAGATTTCAAGGTGCCGAATGACTAACCCTGGCAGTTCCTGCCTCTCAGTGGCTACTGTGTGGCAAATTCGATGGGGAGGGCTTTGCACGATGATCAGTTATTAGCCCCAACAGTTTGGTGCCCATTTTACAGATGACGGAGTTTTGCTCTGTCGCCCAGTCTGGAGTGCAGTGATGCAATCTCGGCTCGCTGCAACCTCCGCCTCCTGGTTCAAGCGATTCTTCTGTCTCAGCCTCCCGAGTAGCTGGGACTACAGATGCGTGCCACCATACTTGGCTAATTTTTGTATTTTTAGTACAGATGGGGTTTCACCATATTAGCCAGGGTGGTCTTGAGTTCCTGACCTCAATTGATCCACCTGCGTCGGCCTCCCAAAGTGCTGGGATTACAGGCATGAGCCACCATGCCCAGCCTGCTTGTGTGACTTTCACAGCAAGTAAGAGGCAGAAGCGGGACTTGAACCCGCACAGACTGACCTCAGACCCCGTGCTACTAGTCTCTGCGCCAGGTGCCTCTTGCTCTGGGGACATGTGTCATAAGTACAAGAATGAGCACACCACTCCCCAGCAGTTTTCTAGGCTGCTGGTCAACCTAGGGGGGCCCACGAAAGGCCTCGGACTCTGGAATTTCTGTAGCTTCCGCTTCAGTCCCTAGGACAGTCCTCATGTTGGGCTGTCTGGCTCTGGGGACAGGCAGCTGACAAGGTAGTACACAGCAGGTCCTGACCACCCCAGCCATAGGCAGCCCCAGCTTCCCCTGTGTCAGGAGGGCCTAGCTGGGGCAGGGGGCTCTGGAAGTCTACCGAGAACTTCTCTCCCTTCACCTGCATGACCTTTGGTGGCAGCTACAAAACTGATTGGATTCTGCTTTCACTCCTCACTCCTGTCCACCTGTAGGTGGATGATGAGGCCACTGTGGGGCTGATGGAGAGATGTTTAGTCATGGGAATCAGATACCCACACGTGCTGGACATCTCATCTATGAGCTGGCTATTCTGTATCCCTTCCTGCTTTTGCCTGCAGTTATTGATATTTTATTCTTATTATTTTTGATACGGAGTCTCATTTTGTCACCCAGGCTGGAGTGCACTGGTGTGATCTCAGCTCACTGTAGCCTCTGCCTCCCGGGTTCAAGTAATTCTCATGCCTCAGCCTCCTGAGTAGCTGGGAATACAGGTGTGCACCACCATGCCCAGCTGAGGTTTGTATTTTTAGTAGAGACAGGGTTTTGTCACGTTGCCCAGGCTGTCTCCCCACTTTCTAAGAGGAGGCCCTCTGGGACCCCTAGCCTCCCTTCCACCTCCCAAACACGAAGGCCCTCTGATTAGTGCCTGTTTGGTAAGGCCAGGTGCTGTTTGTCCACAGCAAAGAATAAACACAGGCCTTTGTTTTGCTGGGATATCTCAGTTTCATGTCAAGAAACTCCCTTGGGTATTTCCATTACCTATAAATTTTTTTTCTCGCCTCTTCACTCTCCTCAAAAAATGCTGCTGATACTGAATAGCTTTTGATAATTCTTCATCTTCAGCATCTGGGAAAAGAGCAAAAGTTGAACTTCTCAAGATAAATTTTATTTTTTTACATTTTTATTTCTTTTTGTTTTTTTATTTTAGAGACAGGGTCTCATTCTGTTGGCCAGGCTGGGTTCAGTGGCACAATTATAGCTCCCTGCAGCCTCAAACTCCTGGACACACACAATCCTTCCTGCCTTAGCCTACCAAATTGCTGGGACTACAAGCATGAACCACCATGTCCAGCTAATTTTTAAAAAAAGTTTTACAGGGCACAGTGGCTCATGCCTGTAATCCCAGCACTTTGGGAGGCCAAGGTGGGCAGATCACCTGATGTCAGGAGTTCAAGACCAGCCTGACCAACATGGAGAAACCCCGTCTCTACTAAAAATACAAAATTAGCTGGGTCTGGTGGCACATGCCTGTAATCCCAGCTACTTGGGAGGCTGAGGCAGGAGAATTGCTTGAACTCAGGAGGTGGAGGTTGCAGTGAGCTGAGATCAAGCCATTGCACTACAGCCTGGACAATAAGGGCAAAACTCTGTCTCAAAAAACAAAAACAAAAATAATTCAAAACAAAATGGCAAATGAGCTGCATAGATATCTCTCAAAAGAAGGCATACAAATGGCCAACAGGTCTATGAAAAATGTTGACCATCCCTAATCATCTGGGAAATGCAAATCAAACCATAATGAGATAGCATCTATCTCACACCTGTTAAAATGGCTACTATCAAAAAGACAAAAAATGGATCATGCCTCTAATCCCAGCACTTTAGGAGGCCGAGGCTGGTAAATCTGGTAGATTGCTTTGAACTTAGGAATTCAGGATCAGCCTGGGCAACATGGCAAAACCCTGTCTCTACAAAAAATACAAAAATTAGCCAGGTGTTGGTGGCACCCTGCTGTTGTCTCAGCTACTCAGGAGGCTGAGGCTGAGAATCTCTTGAACCTGGGAGGCAGAGATTGCAGTGAGCTGACATCCTATCACTGCACTCCAGCTTGGGTGACAGAGTGAGAACTTGTCTCAAAAGAAGAAAAAAAAGAGACAAACAAACAAACAAACAAACAAACAAAACCGGATTCTGGCAAAGACGTAGAGAAAGGAAAACTCTTACATACTCTTCATGGGATGGTAAATTAGTGCAGACATCATAGAAAACAGTATGGCGATTTCTCAAAAAACTAAAAATAGAACTATCATATAATCCAGCAATCAATCCCACCACTGAGTATTTATCCAAGGGAAAGGAAATCCGTATGCTGAAGAGATGTCCGCACCACCATGTTTACTGCACCACTATTCACAGTAGTCAAGATATAGCAACCCGAGTGACTATCAGCAGATGAATGGATAGAGAAAACGTGGTGTACAGATCCAATGGAATACTATTTAGCCATAAAAATAAACAAATTCTTTCATTCACAGCAACATCAATGAACCTGGAGGGCATTATGTTAATGGAAGTAAGCCAGGCATGGAAAGATAAATATTGCATGTCCTTACACATATGTGGAGGCTAAAAAAGTTAATCTCATAGAAGTGGAGTGTTGAGACCAGGTGCACTGGCTCACACCTGTAATCCCAACACTCTGGGAGGGCAAGGCAGGTGGATCTCAAGGTCAGGAATTCGAGACCAGCCTGGCCAACATGGTGAAACCCTGTCTCTACTAAAAATACAAAAATTAGCTGGGCATGGTGGTAGGAGAGTGTAATCCCAGCTACTTGGGAGGCTGAGGCAGGAGAATCGCTTGAACCTGGGAGGCAGATGTTGCAGTGAGCCAAGATCATACCCCTGCACTCCAGCCTGGCTGACAAAGCGAAACTCCATCTCTAAAAAAAGAAGTAGAGTATTGAATAGTGTTCACTAGAGGTGGGGAAGAGTATAGCCGAGAGGAGATAATCAGAGGTTGGTTAAGGGATGCGCTAGTGCTGCCTGAAGGAGGACTGATTGCAATTAACAACAATTTGTTTCGTGGTTTTTTGTTTTTTTTTTTTTTTGGGGGGGACAGTGTCTCACTCTGCCACCCACACTGAAATGCAGTGGTCAGTGGGGCAGTCATGGCTCATTGCAGCCTCCACCTCCTGCTGGGCTCAAGTGATTCTCCCACCTCAAGCTCCCACAGTAGCTGGGATCATAGATGTGTGTCACCACACCCAGCTCATTTTTTTTTTTTTTGATATTTTTCGTAGAGATGGGGTTTTGCCTGTTGGCCAGGCTGGTTTCTCATTCTTGAGCTCCAGCTCAAACTGTCCACCTGCGTTGGCCTCACAAAGTGCTGGGATTATAAGGCATGAGCCTAGTGTACATTTTCAGAAAGCCGGAAGAGCGAATTTGGAATGTTCCTAACACAAAGAAATGACAGATGTTTGAGGCGATGCATTTGCTCATTACATATTATATACATACATGTTTTGAAATATCACACTGTACCCTATAAATATGTACAATTATTATGTGTCTATTGAGAATAATAATAAAGCCAAAAAAGGCAAGTTTCACAGCCCCATCCCCAGCCTGCCGATGCTGTACGTGTGGGGGCCTAAGATTCTTCATCGTATAACCTTTTGGGGTTTTTTTTTTTTTTTTTTGAGATGGAGTCTCACTCTGTTGCACAGACTGGAATGCAATGGCACGATCTCGGCTCACTGCAACCTCCACCTCCCAGTTTCAAGCGATTCTCCTGCCTCTGCCTTCCGAGTAGCTGGGACTACAGGTATGTGCCACCATGCCTGGCTAATTTTGTGTACTTTTAGTAGAGACAGGGTTTCACTGTGTTAGCGAGGATGGTCTTGGTGTCCTAACCTTGTGATCTGCCTGCCTTGTCCTCCTGAAGTGCTGGGATTACAGGTGTGAGCCACTGCACCTGGCCTAAACTCTGTTTTAAAAACAGACCATCTTATTTCAAAAGCGTTTGCTTCTTGGAGCATCCCAAGCTTGTAATGGGGACAATAGCATTTCCTGGGAGCTGTCTTGTACCTGGCACAGGCTGTGTGGCTTCAAATGTGTTATGTCTACTCTCCTTGCGGCTCAGGAAGGTGGGTTATTATTATGCTCATTTATTTGCAGACAGGGACATTGAGGCTCAGAGGGGTTAAGTGGCTTATTCCAAAGGGACCAGCTGTCAGGTGTCACATGGCTAGGAAGTGGCTGAGTCCTCTGCCTCTCTACCCTGTTAGTCACCTCCTCCCACGTGGTCTTTCCTGACCACCTACCTGGAGAACCTTCCCTGGTGTTCTTTTCTTCCTCACCCTGTGGCCTCCTTTATAGCTCTTATCAGAACTTGCAATTACCTCGATTCTCGGTTTGTTCAGGTGATCTACGTTTCTTTTCCTCCAGGCTCTGGTTTTCCCTAGAGCCTAGATGGTCTCTAGCCCATTAGCAGGTGCTCAGTGTGTACTTGCTCAATGACTAGTGATAGGGTTTGGCTGTGTCTCCACCCAAATCTCATCTTGAGTTACAGCTCCTGTAATTCCCACGGGCTGTGGGAGGGACCTCGTGGGAGGTAATTGAATCATGGGGGCTGTTTCTCCCATCTGGTTCTCATTAATAAGTCTCACAAGATCTGAAAGTTTTTTTGTTTTTTGAGATGGAGTCTTACTCTGTCATCCAGGCTGGAGTGCAGTGGCGTGATCTCGCCTCACTGCAACCTCCACCTCCTGGGTTCAAGTGATTCTCCTGCCTCAGCCTCCTGAGAAGCTGGGACTACAGGCACACGCCACCACACCTGGCTAATTTTTTGCATTTTAGTAGAGACGGGGTTTCACCATATTAGCCAGGATGGTCTTGATCTCCTGACCTTGTGATCTGCCCGCCTCGGCCTCTCAAAGTGCTGGGATTACAGGTGTGAGCCACCACTCCCAGCTGAAATGATAGTTTTATAAGGGGTTTCCCTTTGTGCTTGGCTCTCATGCTGTCTTGTCTGCTGCTGTGTAAGACGGGCCTTTCACCTTCTACCAGGATTGTGAGGCATGCCCAGCCACGCTGGAGCTGTGAGTCTATTAAACCTCTTTCCTTTATAAATGACCCAGTCTAGGGTTTGTCTTTATCTGCAGCATCAAAGAGTGCAATACAAATGGGCTTGCTAACGTAGCTGAAGGGGCCAACACCTTCCAACAGGATGGCCTCCTGTCTTGCCGAATTTTGGCTTCCAAAACTCTGAGCTCATTTCCACCTGTGTGTGCACATGTCTCTGTGTGTGTGCATGCACCTGCAGGTTACACATCTCTCAGCATCCTTAACACCAATGCATTGTTTACACACCTGGCCTAGAAACTCAGCCCTGCCCCGCCCCCCCCAGCCCTTAGTGCCCCCACTCTTAGCCAGGGCGGCAGCGCAGCTCACCAGGCTCCCCGAAGCAACCTTCCCGCTGTTTCTGCCAGCTGAGAATGGCGTCCAGCCACTGGAGCTTGTAGAAGTCGGAGAAGCCGCCCATTCCACAGAACATGACTGAAAGTACAGATGGGGCCCTCTGCAGGCCTGTCCCGCAGGCCCACCTCCTCCCACTCCCCAGGGCTGCTGTGGTGCCAGCTGCCTCCATCTGCCTGGGTTAGGCAGCATCAGGAGGTGAGCATTCAATGCAGGGGCTGGAAGAAGGCAGCTCCAGCCTTTGCCTGAGCAACTAGGGGCTCCCAGGCTTGTGTCCCGCCTCCCACTGAGGGCCTTGGTCAGGGCTGCTCCAAATTTAGGGCCAGTAGAGGGGTTTAGACATTCCAGCCAGCGAGCACCCACCCAAGCGCTCCTTTTCTATCTCATCCGTAAGGCTTTGTGGGTCCGCCTGACAGTCACCTGGTCCGTCTGTATAGAGCTCCATCACTGGGGCAGCCTTTGGGGGCAGGAAGCTGTCACACAGTGGCAGGTAAAATACAGGATGCCCAGTGACATTTGAGTTTTCAATAAACAATGAATATAATTTTTTAGTGTAAGTATATTCCATGCAGTAGATGGGATAAACTTATACTAAAAATGAATTCACTGTGTATCTGAAGTTCAAATTTAACTGAGCACTCTGTATTTTTACTTGCCTAATCTGGCAACTCTGTGTGTGTGTGTGTGTTGGGCGGGGGACACCCTCCTTCTCTGTCCCAGGGGCAGAATGCTGGCCATACTGTTTTCCATGAAGATGTCCCGGGTTTGGTATTTGTATCCGATGGCCTCAGCTCTGCGGTTCAGGTCCATCATGTTGGCGCAGAAGAGGCTGATGTAGTCCTGGCTCTGCTGGAACAGCCCCTGTGTGCACCCGCTCTGGGAAGACAAACACCCAAAGACAAGGCGCTCAGTGCTACAGGTGACAGACGCATGCCCTGTTATGGGAAAGTCTTGCAGATCTGCGAGAGTCTTGCAAGTGGCTGTTTAGGGCAGGTCTTTTTCTCCTTTCTGCAGGATTTCTTCCCCATGCATACCCCCAGCCAGCTGGGGCTCCATCATCAGAGAAAACTGGGTTCAAGATTCAGCTCTGCAACTGAGGAGCTGTGTGATCTTGGTTTGCTAAAGTCATCTTTCAGAGCCTGAAGAGTTTCTTTCTTTTTTTGAGACAGAGTCTTGCTCTGTTGCCCAGGCTAAAGTGCAGTGGTGCAATCTCAGCTCATCACACTCTCCACCTCCCGGGTTCAAGTACTTCTCCTGCTTCAGTCTCCCAAGCAGCTAGGGCTACAGGTGTATGCCACCACCATGCCAGACTAATTTTTGTATTTTTAGTGGAGACTGATTTTTGTATTTTCAGGACCCAATGTGAAACCTGTGCCACTAGGAGATGCTCTTTGAATGATCGAGTGGGTAGGGGTACACTGCAATCTACAACCGGACTAATCCCATGGGCGGCTTCAGTGCTACTCAAAGTGCGCACCAAGAACAGGCTGGCTGCTCCCCATGCTGGGAGAGAAGAACTGGCGTTGGCAGCAGGCTTTAGACACTTCTGTTGTGGTGGTCAGAGTGACTTTCCACCTGTTGAGGTTAATGATCAAAAGAATTCCCTTGCACTATGGTTCTTCTTGTATTTACAAAAATATTGGTCTGTCACAGCTTGCAAAGAAATAATAATTAGAAAATTCTGTTGAATAAAAACAGGGAGTGCCTCCTCAGCTAAGAATTTCTGGACACTGAATCACATTTTTTGAAATAAAGATAACCTTACATTTCTGCATAAAGAAACATATATATATTTATATTTATAAATAAAAATATATAAATATTTTATATATAAATATATATAATATATATTTATATAAATATATTTTTATTTATAAATATAAATATATATATGCATTATATATATAAATTATATATTTATATATAAAATATATAAATATATATTTTATTTATTAATATAAATATACATATGCAGAAATGTAGGGTTATCTTTATATATAAAATGTATATATACATATAAAATGTAGTGGTATAATCTCGGCTCACGCAACCTCCGCCTCCTGGGTTCCGGCGATTCTCCTGCCTCAGCCTTACCTAGTAGCTGGGATTGCAGGTGCGTGCTACCATGTCCTGCTAATTTATTTATTTTTATTTTTAGTAGGGAAGTGGTTTCACCATGTTGGCCAGGCTGGTCTTGAACTCCTGGCCTCAAGTAATCCACCCGTCTTGGCCTCCCAAATTGCTGGGGTTACAGGCAGGAGCCACTGCACCGGGCCGTCCCTTTTCCTTTCTCCTTCCCCTTTCCCTGCATGGTGGGGGCTCCCTGGGCACTCACCATTCTGGCCCAGAGGAAGAAGAGCAGTTGGTGGGACAGGCAGTAGCCCGAGCATCTGGGCTTGGTCATGAGGCTCCTGCAGAAGTCCGAGAGGCCACAGGGCTGGCTGCTGTCCATCCTGGGGGAAAGTGGTTTCAAGCTGTTACATACAGATGGAGCGCTGACCCACCCTGAGTCTTCCCAGGTAGTGATGTGGCCCCTATTTATAGTTGTTGGAACTCCTAGCAGATTCCAGACACCCAGCTGGGCATGGGGGTTGCCAGAGAAAATACAGCTGTCCTGCATCTTGATTTGCTAAATCTGGCTGCCCTGGCACAGGGGACATGACGCTGTAGCTATCCTGGGCCTGAGGAAGCCACCGAAGCTGAAACTTCCTACGGCTCCGTGGGGCCCCCAAATCACGTCTTTTCCAGCCCTAAACAGTGGGTACTTGAATATAAACCACTTGGAATCTGGGCCCAACATGCTTATTTCGCCTGCACTGGCCAGGCACGGTGGCTCACTCCTGGAATTCTAGCTCTTAAGGAGTCTGAGGCAGGCAGATCATCTGAGGTCAGGAGTTCGAGACCTGGCCAACATGGTGAAACCTCACCTCCGAGGCAGGCAGATTACCTGAGCTCAGGAATTCAAGACCAGCCTGGCCAACATGGTGAAACCCTGTCTCTACTAAACACACATAAATTAGCCGGGTGTGGTCGTGTGCACCTGTAATCTCACTTACTCTGGAGGCTGAGGTAGGAGAATCACTTGAACCCTGGAGGCAGAGGTTGCAGTGAGCTGAGATCTCACCGCTGCACTCTAACTTGGGAGACAGAGTGAGACTCTGTCTCTAAATAAATAAAATACAAATACAAAAATTAGCTGGGCATGGTGGCACACGTCTGTAATCCCAGGATGAGGCAGGAGAATCGCTTGAACCTGGGAGGTCAAGATTGCAGTGAGCCAACAAAGAACACATCACAGCGCTCCAGCCTGGATGATAGAGTGAGATTCTGTTTTAAAAAAAAAAAAAAATATATATATATATATATATGTATATATTTGGCTGGGTGAGATGGCTCATGCTTATAATCCTAGCATTTTGGTAGGCTGAGGTGGGTGGATCACAAGGTCAAGAGATCTAGACCATCCTGGCTGACATGGTAAAACCCTGTCTCTACTAAAACTACAAAAATGAGCCAGGCGTGGCGGCTGGAGCCTGTAGTCCCAGCTACTCGGGAGGCTGAGGCAGGAGAATCACTTGAACCTGGGAGGTGGAGGTTACAGTGAGCCGGGATCTCCCCACTACACTCCGGCCTGGCAACAGAGTGAGACTCCTTCTCAAAAAAACCAAAAAAAGCAGGAGCCCTGGCTAGGGCCAAGCCCTCCGTGAGCCCAGCTGTGTCCTGGCCCAAGCATTGCTCTGAAGGAAGCTGAGAGGATGCGCCCTGGGCACCTGCTGCCCACTTTGTCCACAGGCACCTGCACCCAGGGCCGCCCTGGGGCCTTGCTCCGGGCCCACCCAGCACCCGGATAAAATGAGGAGCCCAGCTAGGCTCGGTCCTGGCTTCCCGGACCTGCAACCTCACTGGGGATGGGGACAGGCCCACAGTCCAAATGCACATTGCATCTGTGGCTATACAAGGTGCTGGAGAGGCCCTCCCAGGAGGTCTGCTGTGTGCTGGGGTCAGAGGTAGGATGGGGTTTGGAGGTAGGGCAGACTTCTTGAGGCCTAGTGGGTGGGTGGGGGGAGCCTTGGAGAGTCTGAAAAGCGGCCTCTAGGGGGCTGGGGACTTGGAAGGGTGGAGAACTGGGGCTTTGTCCGGGGACCTGGAGATGGTGTGCTCAGCCATGGCTGCTGGAAGACCTGCTGTGGCATGGGAGACCAGTGGGTGGCTGGAGCAAGGGGGACCCCACTGGAGTGGGAGAGGGCAGTGCCTGGCAGCTTCAGGGAGCTGCACCCGGATCTGCACAAAGCCTTGGCTTCAGCCCTGGGGGCTTGGAGAAGAATGAGTGGGACAGGACCAGCAGAGTGTGTTTGTGTTTCCAGCAAATAGGGTGAGTTTGGGGCCCACCCGGTTCCCAGCAGCTGCACCAGGCACATGTCGCTGGTCTCCTCCGAGAACGAGTCCTGGGGCTCGAACGTGGGGTAGACCAAGGAGGCATTGGTGTGGGTCCAGGCATGTGGGAGCTTCCAAAACCCGGGCTGCAGGGTCGGCAGGAACTCTGGCAGAGAGGATAGGTAGGTGAGGCTCGGTGCTGTGTGGGGGCGATCCAGGATGGGCCACCCACCCACTCCTGCAGACCTGCCCACTGGCAGGTACAGCTCGGGGCTCTGAGCCCTGTCTGCTGGTTCCAGATTGGGTTTGAAAAACTCAAGAAAGCTCCTTCTGCTTATAAAACCCTTTTCCCCTAATCATCAGGAAGAGCGTTGGGATAGCTTTGACTAAACCCACTGCATCCCGTGGAAGCTCCAGATAAGGGTTAGATTCCCAGGCGCAGGGCTCAGACCTGTCATCCCAGCACTTGGGGAGGCTGAGGAAGGAAGATCGCTTGAGGCCCAGAGTTCAAGACCAGCCTAGGCAACATAGCAAGACTCTCTCTACAAAAATAAAAAAGGTAGCCAGGTATGGTGGTGTGCATCTGGAGTCCCAGCTGAGGCGGGAAGACTGCTTGAGTCTAAAAGTTGGAGAATGCAGTGAGCTATGTTCAGCTCTTTCTTTTTTTTTTTTTTTTTTGGAGACAGAGTCTAGCTGTGTCACCTAGGCTAGAGTGCAGTGGCGTGATCTAGGCTCACTGCAACCTCTGCCTCCCGGGTTCAAGTGATTCTGCTGCCTCAGCCTCCCAAGTAGCTGGGACTACAGGCTCGTGCCAACACGCCCCACTTTTTTTTTTTTTTTTGTATTTTTAGTAGAGATGGTGTTTCAGCCTTTGGGAGGCTGAGGTGGGCAGATCACTTGAGGTCAGGAGTTGGAGACCAGCCTGGATAATGTATCGAAACCCCGTGTCTACTAAAAATATAAAAATTAGCCTGGTGTGGTGGCACATGCCTGTAGTCCTAGCTACTGAGAGGCTGAAGCAGGAGAATTGCTTGAACCAGGGAGGTGGAGGCTGCAGTAAGCTGAGATCACACCACTGCACTCCAGCCTGGGTGACAGAGGGAGACTCTATCTCAAAGAAAAAAAAAAAATTGGCCGGGCACGGTGGCTCACACCTGTAATCTCAGCGCTTTGGGAGGCCGAGGTGGGCAGATCATGAGGTCAAGAGATCGAGACCATCCTGGCCAACATGGTGAAACCCCATCTCTACTAAAAATACAGAAAAATAGAGTGTGGACAACTTCAGGAGTTTCTTCCGACATTTAATGAAATGTATTAAAATAATTTGGTGATAGAGGACTCTGCTGTTTGCTGTGCAAAGGGTCAAATGGCCTTTTAGACACTCTCCCCTCTGGGATAGCCCCACCCTGCCCAGCCCCTCTGCTCTGGTCTAGAACCAGGACCTCAAGCATGGGCATGCACTGAATGCGTGAGAGAAGACACCCTGCCTACTCCGCACCCCTCTGTGTGGGTGGGAGAGGCCATCAGACTCTGAAGTCAAGGATGACCTCATGTCCCCAGAGCTCATCTGTGGCTTGCTTGGCAGACAGATCGAAGTTCATGACGGACTGACCCAGCCCAGCCTTGCCCCGGGAGAGCACATGCTGGGTTATTAAAGTCAATATCCCCAGAGTCGATATTCCAAAAGGAATGTCCCAGCCCAGCCTTGCCCCGGAGAGCACATGCTGGGTTATGAAAGTCAATATCCCCAGAGTCGATATTCCGGAAGGAATGGGACACCCCTGTGGGTGCTCACCTCTTAGGTACTTGGGGTCACTCAGCTGGAGGTAGAGGAGGGATCTCTGGATGGTGGCCTCCAGCTTCTCCCCCAGCACCCCCACTCGCAGGCTCAGCGGCTGCAGCTGCGGCTCCTGGGCCCACTTCTCCTGAACGCTTTTCAGCTGCTCTGGAAGGGATCAGAGTACATTCATTCTACCATTTGGAATTGGTACTTTTTTTTTTTTTTTTTTGCCTTGGGACAGGAAAAAAAAAATCCTCCAAGGTCTCATGCTTTGTGGGAGCCTCTCTGCCTCCTCCAGCACACAGCCGGGAAAGATTTGCTGAGCTGACTGGAAATGAGGTCAGAATGGGGTGATCTGGGCTATGAGAATGGGTGTCGGAGTGGTAGAAGCGGGTGGCTGCGAGCTTGGTTTTTGGAGTCGGGCCTGGGTTCAGATCCTTGATACTTGAGGTCCAAATCCTCGAATCCTTAACTCAGATGCTTTCTTGTTGGATGACCAGAGAAAGTAATTTAATTTCTCTCCATCTCACTTTCTTCATCTGTAAAACGGGGATAATGATAGTCCTTCCTTCTTGGAGGGGGTTATGAGGCTAGAGTGAGCAAATGTGCAGAGAGGACTTAGTCTTATTCATAGTGTAGAGTAAGCACTTGGTAAAGTTCAGCCATTACTATGCATTAAGGAGACTTGGGGTCTGCTGCGCATGAGGAATAATGAGGGAACGATTCAGGTTGTAGGGTGGAGAACCACCCTGTGCAGGTGAGCAGGTTGTACACTGCACAGTGGCAACACACATTCAGATCATGGGTTTGTGTACGTAGTAAGACAATTTCCCAGCAGATGGCTGTCAAGTGACTTCAGGAAGGAAGGACCTTCTTCTAATTCCCACAGGGGTATCCTGTGGGCTAGCTGTGGCTTTGATGAGGTGGGAGAGAATGGAGAAGATCCAGAGGTGGCCAGACATCGATTGGGGAGACAGGACCCAGAGCATCCATGCAGGGCTGAGAGGGCGAGGGACTAGGTAGGGCAGCTGCCATCAGGTAGGAGCCTTGTTAGGGAGGATGGGCTAAGTTAAGAAGGATGCTGCACGCCCCCCTCTGCTCAGCCCCCTCCGTGGGCAAACCCGCAGGGGAGAAGGACGGCCTTGGGAGTGCCGACAGGGAGCAGTCCCCAGTATGTCAGAGTGTCTCCTCCGGTGACTGCACTGGGTCTACGAAGTCCGACAGGACAGGGGTCCCCAGCGCTCAGTCCAGCACTGGTCTTGGCTTGTTACGAACGAGGCCGCACAGCAGGAGGCGAGTAGTGGGTGAGTCTGTAATTTACAGCCACTCTCGTCACTCACTCTTGTTACTGCCTGAGCTCCACCTCCTGTCAGATCAGCTTCTGGTTAGATTCTCACAGGGGTGCAAACCCTACTGCGAACTGCACATTCGAGGGATCTAGGTTGCACACACCTTATGAGGATCTAATGTCCAGTGATCTGCCATTGTCTCCCATTGCCCTAGATGGGATTATTTAGTTGTTGGAAAATAATCTCAGGGTTTCCACTGATTCTATATTGTGGCGAGTGTGTGGGTAAACCCCCACATGGGCGCTGAGGAAGGAGAGCTGGAGAGCTGGGCAGACGCCAAGCACAATTAGTGCCTGAAGTATAACTTCCTGCTTACTTATATCTAGCTTATCTATGTAATTATACTTAGTTCCATAGAATCTTATATCTAGCTTATCTATGTAACCATCCTTAGTTTTATATAATCTTTCTGTGTAATCATGTCATGGATTGTCGTTGGAGCTGTCCTACTCATTTCATGCTGATTTATATAATCCTTCTAGATAACCATGTAGTAGTTTGTAGCAGGAGGAATGCCTAGAGCAGTGGCAGAGCAGAAACAGTACATGGGAAAACAGCCAGGCCAGGACAAGAACGGAAGACCCAGGCGGTAGCGCCCCTGCCTGAAAGGGCACACGCTGTGTGGCAGGTCAGGGCCTAGACGGCAGCACTCAGTACCCGTGCATGGCCAGCGTGGAGCAAGAGTTACTCCCCCTGAAAAGGAGTGGCTGTACCTCGCATTCAGTTCTTGTGGAAAGCGGGCCTCAGGCCCGAGATCCCCGAACAACCGAGGGAGAAGAACCCCCCTGGTGTGATCGCGCCACGGCGGCTGTACACCCTGTCAGCTTTGCTCGCTACTGTGCTGGCTCAAATCCTCCTCCTATAAGGTATCTTAGAGAAGGGCACACTGCCAGCTCCCACTGCACTGGTTTATGGCATCCTTCTGTAGGCATCCTGTGAAGTCTCCAGCGCCCAGATAAGAAGTGTTGTGCACGGCACTTGTTGCACACAGCTCACCTCCTTGCCTCGGTGGCCTAATGGGGGTGGACCCCCTTTTTTGTACACGACCCTCTGCTACTGTGCACGGCACAGCCCCCTACTGTGCATGGCCCACCTCTCTAACTAGGTGACCTAATGGGGTGGCCCCCTCGCTTGGTACTCACGTGATTATGTCTGCCCTATCACTAAGCCTATAGATGATCTCACTCATGACCCTTACCTAATAAATAAACCCTGTCTCATACCTAATAAATACAGATGCTTCTGGACGTTCAGGGCCTCGACTGTCTCTGCTTGTAAGTGGCGTGGCCCCCCGAGCCCAGCTGTCTTTTCCAGTCTTTCTGTGTCCTGTCTCTTTATTTCTCGGATCCAGTGCCTCAACGCAGCAATAGGGAACACCCCACAACCCTGTAGGGCAGTGGCCCTGTAGGCGAGTTGTATAATTACATGTTTTAATGTAATAGCAAACATAAACTGGACCGCGCACAGTGTCTCATGCCTGTAATCCCAGCCCTTTGGGAGGCCGAGGTAGGCAGATCTCCTGAGGCCAAGAGTTCAAGACCCAGCCTGGCCAACATGGTAAAACCCCGTCTCTACCAAAAATACAAAAATTAGCCGGGTGTGGTGGCGGGGGCCTGTAGTCCTAGCTACTTGGGAGGCTGAGCAGGAGAATCGCTTGAACTGGAGCTGGAGGTTGCAGTGAGCTGAGGTGGCGTCTGCACTGGGGCCTGGGTGACAGAGCAAGACTCTGTCTCAAATAAAAATTAAAAATTAAAAAATGCGCAATAAAGGTCACGTCCCTGAATCATCCCAAAACCTTCCCCTTTACCTAGGTCCATGGAAAAAATGCCTTTTATGAAACCAGTCCCTGGTGTCAAAAAGGTTGGGGACCACTGCAATGGGACTTCGACCCTACTGACGCAGAGCTCATTGTTTAGAGAGAGACAGACGAGGAGGCTGTTGCCGTCAGTCAAGGGTGCTCAATGCTTGGATAGATGGAAATGGTAATGGCTGACAAGTACTGAGCCCCAAGGGTAAGACGACATAGACACGTAATCTCATGTGATATATGTGCATGATCACGTGATACTCCCAGCTACCAGCTGCAGTGGAAGGATGAGGAAACCCAGACTCCACCAGAGCAGATAACTCAGTGTTATGCAGCCAGTTGGGGGAGATCCAGGATTCGAACCCGGGCAAACCAGTTCTGAAGCCATGTTCTAGGCACTGGTACCACCTTTGCTCTCTTTTAGGCAGAGTCCACTGTTGTGTTATGTGGCTGAATTCCTGGGGAATCTGTTATGCAGCAAGACTATTGCAAGGGGAAGGGACAGTGGCTGTGGAACAGAGCGTGGGTGGAGAAGCTGGGCTCACTGTGGCTGCAAGGAGAGGGGACCCTGATCTGAGGCCAGGGTGGTGGGGCTTTCCCAGTGAATGCTATTCAGTCATGATTAAGAGAACCCCCCTCCCTTCATTGATAAAAGAGGATAATAACAATGGGTGTAACCTCAGGAAGGACAGGGAGAGGGTATTGAAGTACCCATACAGTGCACCTGGGGTGTGCCCACGTGGAGCAGATTCTAAGTGAACTGAAGCTTTAACTATCACATGCACCCCAGAAAGCACCTGCCCCCGTGGAAGCCATCTGCCCCTGATGACAAGATTCTGTCCCTTGGTTCTATGAGTGCTTGTTCAACACCTGCTGCACACTCACTACTGTGCTTGGCAAGGGGGCTGGACACGAGTCAGTGTGATGCCACTCGCCCTCAAGAGACTCATGTAACTGGGTGGGTCTGTCCTAGACCCCACCCCACCAGCCATCCATTGTGAGGTGTCAGGAGGCTATTGAACTCTCTCTGCCTCAGTTTCCTTGCCTATGGAATGAGGAAAACAAGTTACTCCTCTGCAAGCTGTCTGGTCAGTTACCCATGGCAGGTGCCCAGGGAGAACCCAATTTGCAAGGCCACATCTCAGCCTTGGTGGGCCCCTTCCTCCATTAGAGACATTAGGCTGGGCACAGTGGCTCACCCCTCTAGACTCAGCACTTTAGGAAGCCAAGGCAGGAGGATTACTTGAGGGCAGAAATTTGAGATCAGCCTGGGCAACATAGCAAGACTCTATCTCTACAAAAAAATATTAAAAATTAGCTAGGTGTGGTGACGCATGCCTGTAATCCTAGCTACTCGGAAGGCTGAGGTGGGAGGATCACTTGAGCCAGAAGTTCAAGGCTACAGTGAACTATGATGGTGCCACTGCACTCCAGTCTGGGGGATGCTGATGCTGATGAATTTCTAGAGGAGCTTTGAGACAGGGCTGGGTTAAATGAAGGGGACCCGGGGTGTATCTCTGGCCTCACCCTAGCCCTGGCCAGGAGGGGAGGAGTGTGATCTCAGGGCTCTCCAGGATGCCACGTGGGGGATGAGGGGTGAGGAGAGGACACTTGGTGAGGGCATGCGGCTGCGAGGAAGCAGACTATCCCAGTGCCTCTCCTGCCACTTCTGAGTCCTGGCCAGGTGGAAAACTACTCTGGCAACCCAAAGAGGGTGGTGTGGGGCGATGCCCACTGCCTGGCCTGGGAGCCAGGGCCAGCCCAGAGCCCCTGCTGATACCAACCTGGGGTCTTTGTCACTTTGCTCAGGATGGCCTGCAAGGAGGGGCCCACAGCAATTCATGGTGTGTGTGTGTGTGCATTCGTACATGCATGTGTGCTTGTGTGTGTGATGTGTGTGTGCATGCATGCGTGTTTGTGATGTGTGTGCGTGCGTGCATGCATGCATGCTTGTGTGTGTGTGATGTGCCTGTGTGTGTACATGTGTGCATGCATGCTTGTGTGTGTGATGTGTGCGTGTGTGTGTACATGTGTGCATGCATGCTTGTGTGTGATGTGCCTGTGTGTGTACATGTGTGCATGCATGCTTGTGTGTGTGATGTGCCTGTGTGTGTACATGTGTGCATGCATGCTTGTGTGTGTGATCTGCCTGTGTGTGTACATGTGTGCATGCATGCTTGTGTGTGTGTGATGTGCCTGTGTGTACATGTGTGCATGCATGCTTGTGTGTGTGTGATGTGCCTGTGTGTGTACATGTGTGCATGCATGCTTGTGTGTGTGATGTGTGCGTGTGTGTGTACATGTGTGCATGCATGCTTGTGTGTGAGATGTGTGCATGTGTGTGTTTGCCTTGGCCTGTCTCCAGTCCCCTTCTTGGGGATCTTATATCTCTGAAAGCTAAACAAACACTTGACTGTTTTTGCAAAACCTTCAGGAGGCTTTGGATGGAAGTGGAGGAAGCGGGGTTGGAACCCGATCTTGAGGGTCGTCAGTTTTGTCCACAGCCACCTCACTCAGGGGAGGGACCGTCCCACAAATATCCATTTTTGGGGCACTCTCTCTACTCCCCTTGTTTGTAGTGTGTCAGGAGGGACTGCCAAATGGATCATTTCCTTCTTAGAAAATGATCATTTCCAAATCCTTCCCCATGTTGACTTTAAATCTTTCCTACTTCTAAAAAATTTCGTAACAGCTGGGCCGCAACCCCCGGCTTCCCTTCCTCTCTCCTTATAGTTGAGGCAGATTATTCTGGGCCCAGAAGGCTGCCAAGTCTCAGGCGTACAGAGCAGGGCGGAGGACAAAGCTGAGAGTTAGCTTCCTAGTGTCCAGCCAGGGGAACGGGGGCTCACTCACCTTCCAGCACCCGGGCCCCCACCATGCCATCCAGGTTGATTTCGGGCAGCCTCTGCTCTAGGAAGACGGTGGCTCTCTCCAGCGCAGACAAGATCAGGCCTGCGATGGTGGCCTTAGCTTCGGCAGTGTCCAGTCCCGGCAGTGAGGAGGACCACAGCAGTGGCAGGGCCGTCAGTAAGAGCAGGAGCAGCAGCCCCGGGCTGGCCATGGCTGGGTTCTGCTCACAGCTGGTCACAGGCTCAGCACCCCAAGCTCTGGCGCAGCCCAGACCGCCTCTGCACGATCTCCTCCCGCCTCCTCCCCACCTCCCCTGGCAGACCTGAAGACAAGTGGCCTGGCAGGGCTGCCAAGAAGCCTGGGTGGCCGGTTCAAAGGGATCTGGGAAGGCTGGCTGCAGGGGGATGACGGTGAGGCAGCGGCGGGTAGGCCAGTCCCGGGCGTCGAGCCTGCTGTTCCTGTTGTGCTGGGGAGAGGGGTACCCATTCTGACCGTCTTGGCCCTGATTCTTCAGGCTCACAGGCCAGATCTTTGATCTAGCAATTGCAATTCAACCCAGAAATCCAAAAGCTCTGAAGGCAAAAAACCTTTTCTTCTTTCTTTGTTTTTTGAAATAGGGTCTCATTCTCTTGCCCAGGCTGGAGTGGTTTAATTACAGCTCACTGCAGCCTTCTCCTCCTGGGCTTAATAGATCTTCCTGCCTCAGCCTCCTGAATAGCTGGGACTTACAGGCTTGTGCCACCATGCTTGGCTAATTTTTTTTATTTTTTATTTTTTTATTTTTTATTTTTTTGAGATGGAGTCTCGCTCTGTTGCCCTGGCTGGAGTGCAATGGTGAGGTCTTGGCTCACTGCAACATCTGCCTGCCGGGTTCAAGCGATTCTCTTTCCTCAGCCTCCTGAATAGCTGGGATTACAGGTGCCCAGCACCATGCCTGGCTAATGTTTGTGTTTTCAGTAGAGAGGAGGTTTCACCATGTTGGCTAGGATGGTCTCAAACTCCTGACCTTGTGATCTGCCTGCCTTGGCCTCCCAAAGTGCTGGGATTACAGGTGTGAGCCACTGCACCAAGCCAATTTTTGTATTTTTTATAGAGATAGGGTTTCACTATGTTGTCCAGGCTGGTCTTGAACTCCTGGGCTTAAGTGATCCACCCTCCTCAGGCTCCCGAAGTGCTGGGATCACAGGCATGAGCCACCACACCCAGCCTTTGTTTTAAATAAATTTGAAGCAAACTCATCTGAGGGCACATCTGCTTTGACCAGCCTGGCCAACATAGTGAAACCCCATCTCTACTAATAATACAAAATTATCTGGGCATGGTGGCATATGCCTGTAATCCCAGCTACTTGGGAGGCTGAGGCAGGAGAATCACTTGAACCTGGAAGGCGGAGGTTGCAGTGAGCTGAGATGGCACCACTGCACTACAGCCTGGGCAACAGAGTGACACTGTGTCTCAAAAAAAAAAAAAAAAAAAGTGTGCCAAGCCCTGAGCTGAGCCCAGGGACGCTGGGGAGCCACATCCCCACGGGCTACCCTGTCCTTTGGGTGCTGCCTGTGGTCCTCAACAAGGGAGGAGCTGCTGTCTTGTTTGTTGAATGTGGTGTGGGTGGTGGCTCTGCAGATTCTGGGGCAGCTCCTAAATAGGGTATTGGGGTAGCATCACCAGTGAGCTGTTGGTGTTGCTCTGCAAGAGACTGCTTTCAAAGAGAAAGGGCTGTGATATGATTTGGCTGTGTCCCCACGCAAATCTCATCTTGAATTCCCCTGTGTTGTGGGAGGGACCCGGTAGAAGGTAACTGAATCATGGGGTCCGGTCTTTCCTGTGCCATTCTCGTGACAGTGAATCAGGCTCCCGAGGCCTGATTGTTGTACAAGAAGTTTTCCTGCACAAGCTCTCTTTTTGCCTGCTGCCAACTGTGTAAGAGGGGACTCGCTCCTCTTTGCCTTCTGCCATGATGGTGAGGCCTCCCCAGCCATGTGCACCTGTAAGTCCATTAAACCTCTTTCTTTTGTAAATTGCCCAGTCTTGGGTATGTCTTTATCAGCAGCATGAAAATGGACTAATAACAGGCAGTCACAGAGACACATTAAGCTCTTACTATGGCTACTTTGGGAGGTGAAATTGGAGGGTCATTGGGGAAATTTTCCTTCTAGTCATGGATACTTAAGCAAAATCATGGCGGCGTTTACTTCCTTGTTGGTCCTTTTCCTTCTCTACCTTTTTTTTTTTGAGATGGAGTCTCACTCTGTCGCCCAGGCTGGAGTGCAGTGGCGTGATCTGGGCTCACTGCAACCTCCACCTCCTGGGTTGAAGCAATTCTCCTGCCTCAGCCCCCCAGGTAGCTGGGACTAGAGGCACATGCCACCACACTAGCTAATTTTTTTTTATTTTTAGTGGAGAGGGGGTTTCATCATGTGGGCCAGGCTGGTCTCGAACCCCTGAGCTCAAGTGATCTGCCTGCCTCAGCCTCCCAAAGTGCAGGGATTATAGGCATCCCCTCTCTACCTTTTAAATGTTTTATGAAGTGTGATGTACACCCTGGAAAGTGGGCAGGTACGATGCTGCTTGAGGAGCCACCCCACATCCAGCACACCCATGTTACCAGCCCCTGACTTCCAACAGCAAGGACTGGCTTTTATTTACATAGACGTAACTCTACAGTTTGTACTTGTCAGCGTCTGGCTCCTTCCTCAGTGCTAGGATGAGATTCACCCAAATTCTTGTCTCACCATATTTTGAAATTAGTTTAGAGCCTTGAAGAGAGTTCTTACGTCCCAATACAGTAACAACTTTACTTTAGTCGGGGAAATACCCTGTTGTGTAAGGAATCTGGTGTAAGTACGTGCGTCCTACTACTACTAATCTACTAATTCTTGGCCCCGAGGGACTCCCCGGGGTTCCCCGGACCCCTCTTAGAGAACCGCGTCCTTATCCCGCCTTTTCTCTGCCCACTTCGGACACTTGGTCTGCGACTGCGCACACCGAGCGTGCCCGCCCGCGGAAGCGCGGTCACGTGACTGCTGCGGCCCCCGCCAAGATGGCGGCGTCCTGCTTCGTCCTGCTGGCGCTGTGTCTGCTGCTGCCGCTGCTGCTGCTGGGAGGATGGAAGCGCTGGCGGCGGGGGCGCGCCTCCCAGCACGTAGTGGCCCTGGTGCTGGGCGATGTGGGCCGCAGCCCCCGCATGCAGTACCACGTGCTGTCGTTGGCCAAGCACGGCTTCTCGGTGACCCTCCTGGGGTTCTGCAGTGAGTGACCAAGGGTCTGGGAGGGATATGCTCTCTCAGGCTTTGACCCTCGGCTCTAACCGCCCCGGGGAGTCGACGCGGAAGTGCTCCGTTTGTCGCCGCTTTTGGGCAGCTCTCCGGGATTGGACGAGCGGGTTCTACCCAGCTTTTCCTGGGCGGGTCTTTAGGTACAGTCGGCATTAATCTTGCCACGTGTCAGGACTGTGTTAAGTGAATCCGTTGCGTGGTCTCACTTAATTCTAGCAAATGGAACCCCGGTGCGTGGGACTCCAGGGCCAGTGCTGGTAGCTGTGTCCGTGTGCAGCTACCTTTGTCAGGCTTTGAGCTGACAAGCAGCATATCGCTCTCATTCCTCATCCCTCCACGCACAGCTCTGCAGAAAGATGTTTAATTTGTTCTTCATGTGCAGCTTTTCCCCACAGTGTGCCGGCAGGGTTGTCTGCTCCTTCGTTATTCTCCACGTTGGTATCTTGAGAGGGTAGCTCAACCCCATCTCAAGGAGAAGTGGGAACAGCATTTGTTGCCTTCGATCCCTGTTTAGAGAGTCTGCTATCCTAGGATGATGGGGTAGTGGGACTTCCTAGGGATCTCCCTGTGGTGGGAAAAGTCCACCATCCAGAGAATCTAGTTTAATTGAGCACCTGCTGTGTGCCAGTCATTGTGTTAAGTGAAGGTCGGTAAGATTCAGGCTGTCTCTCTGTGGGCTTTCTAGAGGAATCTGAACAAGAATTGGCTACATTCTCAATTCGGGCTAGTGAGGAGTAGAGAGAGGTTTTGAAAAATCTTATTTTCCAAAATGATTTAGCCTGAGCTGGGAGATTATCTGACTTTAGATTGCTGCTTCTGGTACATTAAAGGTATCGTTCTCCCTTTCAGACTCCAAACCCCACGATGAGCTCTTGCAGAACGACAGAATTCAGATTGTGGGGTTGACAGACCTTCAGAGCCTTGCAGGTACCGTGCAGTCAACTCCAGATTCCTGTGAATCCATGGGTTGGCGGTGGGGGTGTTTGTTTGAAAAGTCTTGCAGAGTCCGGGCATGGTGGCTCACTCCTGTAATCCCACCCCTTAGGGAGGCTGAGGCAGGAGGATCACCTGAGGTCAGGAGTTCGAGACCAGCTTAACATGATGAAACCCTGTCTCTACTAAAAATACACAACTTAGTTGGGTGTAGTGGCGGGCACCTGTAATCTCAGCTACTCAGTAGGCTGAGGCAGGAAAGTCGCTTGAACCCGGGAGGCGGAGGTTGCAGTGAGCTGAGATCATGCCATTGTACTCCAGCCTGGGCTACAGAGCAAGACTCTGTCTCAAAAAAAAAAAAAAAAAGAAAAAAAAAAGAAAACTCTTGACGATTCCCAGAAGCTCCTTTGGTAGTCACAGGTGTTTTCTGACTTGCAGTTGGGCCCCGAGTTTTCCAGTACGGAGTCAAAGTTGTATTCCAGGCCGTGTACTTGCTGTGGAAGTTGATGTGGAGCGAGCCAGGTACCTATATCTTTCTCCAGGTGTGTATCAGCTGCTTCCTCCCTCTATCAGAACCATGTTAACAGTTTACTTTCCAGCTTTTAAAAACATGCACAAATTGGTAATATATTGCATATTCATACGTGTGTGTGTGTGTGTGTGTTGTGTGTGTGTAAATGTTTAAAGACATGAGCAGGAGTCTATGGCACCTATTGATGGCACCTATCCATGCTCTCTGTGTCATTACAGATAGAGTCACATTATACTGACTGTGTATCCACGTGTTTTCCATGTATTAACTCATTTAGTCCTCACAGTAACCCTAGGAAATATTACATTTAGGTAATACAAGAACCTGTTTCTTAAGGTTGTTCTTATTTAGACGAGAAAACCTAGACTGGAAAGTTTCTGTAAGTAGCCCGTTGCCATACAGGTAGGAAGTTGTGGAATCAGGATTTGAACCTAGGTTGTCAGTCTGGTTCTATAGTTATACTTGTAACCTCTTCCCTTTATCACTTTTTTTTTTTTTTTTTTTTTGAGACGGAGTTTCGCTCTTGTTACCCAGGCTGGAGTGCAATGGCGCCATCTCGGCTCACCGCAACCTCCGCCTCCTGGGTTCAAGGAATTCTTCTGCCTCAGCCTCCTGAGTAGCTGGGACTACAGGCGTGCACCACCATGCCCAGCTAATTTTTGTATTTTTAGTAGAGACGGGGTTTCACCATGCTGACCAGGGTGGTCTCGATCTCTTGACCTCGTGATCCACCCACCTCGGCCTCCCAAAGTGCTGGGATTACAGGCTTGAGCCACCGTGCCCGGCTATCATTTTTTTTTTTTTTTTAAGATGGAGTCTCACTCCATCTGTAGTACCAGGCTGGAGTGCAGTGGTACAATCTCAGCTACTGCAACTTCTGCCTGCTGGGTTCAGGCAATGCTCCTGCTTCAGTCTCCTGAATTTTTTGTATTTTTGGTAGAGACGAGGTTTCACCATGGTGGCCAGGCTGGTCTCAAACTCCTGACCTCGTGATCTGCCTGCCTTGGCCTCCCAAAGCACTGGGATTACAGGCCTGAGCCACCGCGCCCGGCCACCACAAAAATTTTTTTTTAAGAAGAGCTACACTCCGCCTCAAAAAAAAAAAAATTTCTAGCTGAAGGAAGAATACCTTTTTCTTTATTTTTTAAATCAATTTTTAACATACAGAAGCACCTTCCTCTTTTGTTTATTTATTGATTTATTTTTTATTTTTCCTGAGACAGAGTCTCTGTTGCCATTGACAGGCTGGAGTGTAGTGGTGCGATCTCAGTTCACTGCACCCTCTGCCTCCCGGGTTCAAGTGATTCTCCTGCCTCAGCCTTCTGGGTAGCTGGGATTATAGGCACCCATGACCACGCCTGGCTAATTTTTGTGTTTTCTTTCTTTCTTTCTTTCTTTTTTTTTAAAGTAGATATGGGGTTTTGCTCTGTTGGCCAGGCTGATCTTGAACTCCTGACCTCAGGTGATACACCTGCCTCGGCCTCCCAAAGTTCTGGGATTAGGGGCATGAGCCACTGCGCCCGCACCTTCCTCTTTTAATAGGCAGCATTGAATTCCAATATGTGATGTTTCATACGGGATGTATTTAGTTTCGTGTTAATGGATACTCAGATTCTTCCTGATTTTGTTTTGAGTTTTACAAATAGTGCAGCTCCAAGCAGAGCACAGTGAGCATATGCCTTTCTCGTAAGTCCAGTTTCTTTCTTAGGGTAAATTCCTAGCAGTGGAATTGCTCTTGTGCATACAATTAAAGTTGATGCATTTAAAAAATGTGTATGTTACTGGATAGCTTTAGAGCAGGTGTCCCCAAACTTTTTACACAGGGGCCAGTTCACTGTCCCTCAGACCGTTGGAGGGCCGCCACATACTGTGCTCCTCTCACTGACCACCAATGAAAGAGGCGCCCCTTCCGGAAGTGCGGCGGGGGGCCGGATAAATGGCCTCAGGGGGCCGCATGCGGCTCGAGGGCCGTAATTTGGGGACACCTGCTTTAGAGTAAGGTTGGGCCAGTTTGCCCCCTGCTAGGTGGAGGTGCCTCTTCTCCCACATGCTTCCCATCCCCAGATGCTGTTAGACTTCTTTAGAATTTGTATTCTGACAGGTGAAAAATGGCATCTCTTTGTTCTCTTTTTTGCCTCCTTGATTATTGATGATCTTGGACTTTTCAGGTTGGTTAGTTCTGTTTGCTTGCTTGTTTAGAGACAGAGTCTAGCTCTGTCACCCAGGTTGGAGTGCATTGGCACAATCATAGCTAAGCTGCAGCCTCATCCTCCTGGGCTCAAGTGACCCTTCCTCCTCAGCCTCCTGAGTAGCTGGGGCTCCTGGCGTGTCCCACCACACTTGGCTGATTTTTAAATTTTTTGTAGAGATGGGGCCTCACTGTGTTGCTCAGGCTGGTCTTGAACTCCTGGGCTTAAATGATCCTCCTACCTTGGCCTCCCAAAGTGTTGGGATTACAGGCATTAGCCATGGAGCCTGGGCCACTGTGTTTCTTTTATGACTTTTTACACCTATTTTGATGATGGAGAGGGCCTCTCTTCTATTGTTCTCAAGAGCTCTGTAAAGATAATAGACTCATCACCATGTGTGTTGTGACTGTTTTCACTTGGTTTATTGCCCACTGTGGTCCGATTTCCTCCTCTTCAAGGGTCTGTGTTTCCTAGAACCCCCCAGGGCTGCCTGGCATTGCTGTCTGCTGGTTTGTGGGCTGCCTTTGTGGAAGCAAACTCGTCATTGACTGGCACAACTATGGCTACTCCATCATGGCTCTGGTCCATGGCCCCAACCACCCCCTCGTTCTGCTGGCCAAGTGGTGAGAGTCTGGGAAGTGGGTAGAATACTGTCCCCAAACCCCTCAAGAATGAGTGAGAAGGGTCATTGTGGGCCTCTGGAAGCTAGTTCCTGTGTGCTCTGCAGGAGGGACGGCAAGGCTGGTGGATCGGGCTAGATGCTGGTTCCAAGGGATAGAAACAGGCCTCAGCAAAGGACCACGCTTTTTGGCCCATGAAATGGAAATGTTCAGCGAGATGGTTTTGGGCTAAGCAGTGTCACTGGGACCCGGCTCACGTCTGTCTCCACGCTCCCTTCTGGCGGCGGTTCCTGAGCTCTCCTAGCTCTCGTCTCCACCCATGCCCGTTGGGGAGGGCAGCCCTCTCTGATTGGCTCATGTAGGCTACCTGCCTTCCTCTGATCTGCCTGTTGAGGCTGGGCTTGAGGCAAAGGCTCCAGCAAAAGATCTGGGTCTCAGGAGCATCCATATCCCATGGACAGAGGGTTTGTGAGGACAGATCCCCAAATTAAAACCCAGGGCTGCTGTTGGAAGTGGGCCACAGTTGCTGCAGCCTATGAGACAGGGAGGGAAGAAGGACCAGTGGCAGCGGTGGGATGTGGAGCTGGGAAGGTCGTCTGCTGTACTCTGAGCCCGAGTATGTCTGCCTTGGTCTGCATGCCCAGCCTCCGTGTATACTTCCAGCCTTGGGCCATTGGCTGGCTTTGCCTTTGCCCTGGTGAGTTTGTTCACTGGCAGTGCTGACAGCAACAGCAAACGATCATTGAGCACCTGCCGCATGCCAAGCCCTTTTTTGCATTTTACCCCATTCAATCTCCGTGCACCTCAGGAGGGTGTATCTTTTACAAGTCAGGAATCCGAGGCTGAGAACAATGATGCCTCTTGCCACACAGCTAAGCGTGAGGATCAAAGTGTCATCCCAGGCACCCCCATTTCTGAGATTTCTCTGCATCTTGAGAGAGGAACGGGCCCTGATTCCCCGGCGGCGTTAAATAACCCAGAGTCGCTCATTCCCTGTTCCGGCACCGCCCTGCGATCAGGGCTCAGTCTCAGTTAGGAGTGAATGTGTACAACATTCACTGAATCCCTTTGCCCCATGTTGAGAGCAGGCCGTGGCCTTACACCCTTTGCAGTGGGAACTCAGCGTGGCGGAGATCCGCTAGTGAGTCCTTTATTTTATTTCTTCCTTTTACAGCAAGAGAGAGGATGTTCACTTTGGCAGGCATACACAGCTTCCTTTTATTTATTATTTAAAATTTGTATTTATTTATTTATTTATTTTGAGACAGTCTTGCTCTGTTGCCCAGCCTAGAGTGCATTTTCCTTTTCAAGTGATTGTATTGTCCGGGCACGGTGGCTCGCGCCTGTAATCCCAGCACTTTGGGAGGCCAACGTGGGCGGCTCACCTGAGGTCGGGAGTTTGAGGCCAACGTGACCAATGTGGAGACAACTGGTCTCTACTAAAATACAGAGTTAGCTGGGCATGGTGGTGGTGGCCTGTAATCCCTGCTTCTCGGGAGGCTGAAACTGGAGAATCGCTTAAACCCAGGAGGTGGAGGTTGCAGTGAGCAGAGATGGTGCCACTGCACTCTAGCCTGGGTGACAGTGAGACTCATCTCAAAAATAAAAATAAAAATAAAATATAAAGTGATTGTATTTAAGCCGACAAGTGACACAACATAAAGAAGGGTGTCTACAGCGTAAAGAAAGAACAGTGGCACAGGTGTGGCTCAGGGAGCTCAGACTCTCCCCGCCCTGTGGTCTTTTCTGTGTTGAGGGGTGTAGAGTCACGCTGTGGTTGTAGCGGAGGCCTGTTTAGGGTTCTGCTGACTGCTGATGCATCTTTTCAGGTATGAGAGGTTCTTTGGGCGCCTCTCCCACCTGAACCTGTGTGTTACCAATGCCATGCGGGAAGACCTGGCGGAGAACTGGCACATCAGGTACCACGGCCTGGGGTGACGGCAGCCTGGGAGAGGTGCAGGGCCCCTGAATGGCTGCAGTGAGAGCTGTCTCCTCTGCTGTGTCGTGCTGGTGACACAGTTTAAAATGCTGAGGGCTAGGCGAGCGCAGTGGCCTACCCCTCTAATCCCATCACTTTGGGAGGCCGAGGCAGGCAGATCACAAGGTCAGGAGTTCGAGACCGGCCTGGTTACCATGGTGAAACCCTGTCTCTACTAAAATAGAAAAATTAGCCGGGTGTGGTAGCAGGCGCCTGTAGTCCCAGCTACTCAGAAGGCTGAGGCAGGAGAATTGCTTGAACCCGGGAGGTGAAGGTTGCAGTGAGCTGAACTGCACTCCAGCCTGGGCAAAGAGCAAGACTTGGTCTCAAAAAAAAAAAAAAAAAAAAAAAAAAAAGGAAAGAAACACTGAGGGGCTGGGAGGTCGTCCCTGATGTTTGAGGAAGCTGGGGGAGGTAGGGGCAGTTTCTCCTCTTCAGCCCCCCAGGGGCTCCAGGCAGTTATGGGCCTAGGACGTCTCTGTGCATTCCCAAATAATTGCAAAGCTACTTCTTTTCATCGTCTGAGACTTGTATTCCCCAAGCATCCTTTTCCTGGATCGGGTGGGTCCTGAGGTATTTCTTCTGCCCTCGCAATAGCTCTGCTGTGATTTCATTGCAGGGCCGTGACCTTCTACGACAAGCCAGCATCTTTGTTTAAAGAGACGCCTCTGGACGTGCAGCACCGGCTCTTCATGAAGCTGGGGGGCTCGCACTCTCCGTTCAGGGCCCGGTAGGCCTCCCACCCTCAGCTGCCCCTGCCCTGGCCTCTCCCCTTCTCACTACAGACCTGGGAACCCACTCATCCAGGGGTTGGCAACTGAGGCTGCAGGCCGGTCGCCTGCTTTTGTTCATCAAGTTTCATTGGGACGCAACACACTCATTCCCTTCTGAGTTGTCTACAGCCACCTTTGAGCTGCAGCAGCAGGGGTGGGTTTTGCAACAGAGAACCTGTGTCCCTCAAAGCCTAAGCATTTACTCTCTGGCCCTTTAAGAAATGTTTGTTGACTCCTGCTCTGTCTTACTCTCCAGCCAGTTGGTTCTCAGGCCTGTGGCAGGATCTGTGGACCTGTGTGTCCCCTGGGGTGTCTGGTGGGGCTAAGGAGGGGACCTTTGTGCAGGTCCACACACCCTGTCTTGTGCCCCTGGGTAAGCTGGGGTGGTGTTGGAGGGGCGTCACAGCACCTCATCTGAAGTTGAGGGGATGGGAAGACAGTAGCCCCCACGGAGAAAAGGAATGAGTCAGTCTCGTTTGTCGTCGTAACCTTAGCACCCAGCAGCAATATTAGAGAAAGCAAGCCCAGGCCTTGGGTGGCAGGGGTGGTGTGGCGCTGCTGATGTGGCCGCGCACTCCAACCTTTGGGAGCCTGCAGGCTTTGCCATGGCAGGAGATGCCAGTCCTGGGCCCTGGGCCTCCTCTGTGGCCTCTCACGGGCTTTTTTTCTGCTCCTTCAGCTCAGAGCCTGAGGACCCAGCCATGGAGCGATCAGCCTTCACAGAGTGGGATGCTGGCAGTGGGCTGGTGACACGCCGCAGCGGGCGGCCAGCTCTGCTGGTCAGCAGCACGAGCTGGACAGGTCTGCACGACCCCCGGGGCCCTTGCGGTTGGTGTGACGGGCACCTGGCCAGGCTGTTTTCCTCACCCCTGCCGGTCTTGCATGCCCGCCCCCGGCCCCCACCCCTGGTCTCAATGAGAAGGGAAGGGCTTGGGAGCTGGAAGAGGGGTGTCTAGAAAAGGCCCCTGAAATAGGGGAGGGACAGCAGGGGATGGGGAGTTGGGGAGAGAGCATGGGGATAAATCCCAGATACTGGTGATGGGGAGGAAGGCAGCAAATCGCGCTGCCATGTGTGTGCCTATGCGTCTTACGTGTTCTTCACATGTACCCCCAAACCTAAAATGCAATTAAAAAAAAATAAAAGGCCCCTGACATTCAGTTCTCTTCTCGTAGAGGATGAAGACTTCTCCATCCTGCTGGCAGCTTTAGAAAGTAGGTGTGTGGCTGCGGTGAGGAGCTCTGGGCTTGTTGGGGCCACTGAGCTGTGAGCTGCTTGCCTGGCCTGCAGCGTGTTCCTGCCCCGGGCCACTGGGTGGGCCAGCCTGGGGACAGCAGGGGTGGTGGAGGTGTGGGCGTCTCTGAATCCCTGGTTGGGTGATTGAGTGACCAGGCCCTCAGGCTGAAATGCCCCCTCCAGGAGAGCATCTCAGAGAGGGTGGTGGCCCCCCCACCAGACCAGTGCCCTTTCCCCACCTGACCAGATGACCCTGGCTGTCATTTATTTAAAAAAATTTTTTTTGATGGGAGTGGTGGCTCACACCTGTAATTCCAGAACTCTGGGAGGCTGAGGTGGGTAGATCACCTGAGGTCAGGAGTTTGAGACCAGCCTGGCCAACATGCCAAAACCCCGTCTCTACTAAAAATACAAAATTAGCCGGGTGTGGTGGTGGGTACCTGTACTTCCAGCTACTTGGGTGACTGAGGCAAGAGAATCACTTGAACCTGGGAGGCAGAGGTTTCAGTGAGCCGAGATTGTGCCACTGCAGTCCAGCCTGGGCAACAGAGCAAGACTCTGTCCAAAAAAAAAAAAAAAAAAAAAAATTTTCTATCAGAAATTTCATGTAGAATTGTTTATTGTTTTAAATACAGAGTTTGAACAACTGACTCTTGACGGACACAACCTTCCTTCTCTCGTCTGTGTGATAACAGGTACTGCCTGGGACCCTGGGTGTCTGTCTGGTTGGGGGATGGCATGGGGGGAGGGGCATGCAGCCTTTACCATGTGCTTCCTGAGACCTTGGCTCCTTAGTCCTCACTGCAGCTCCCTGCCATAGGGTCTTAAATTGCTTGATGTGGGGGAAACTGAGGCTCAGAGGGTTTCGAAGAAGGGTAGGGAGCCTAGATTTGAATTTGGAGATACCAAGCTTTCTACTTTTTCACGAGTTTCCAAGCGTCTTTTTGTTGTGGATGATATTACTTAATTGGTGTCTTTTTCTTTCTTTCTTTTTTTTTTTTTTTTTTGACATAGAGTTCCACTGTGTCTCCCATGCTGGAGTGCAGTCACGAAATCTCGGCTCACTGCAGCCTCCGCCTTCTGCATTCAAGTGAATATCGTGTCTCAGCCTCCTGAGTAGCTGAGATTACAGGCGTGTGCCATCACACCTGGCTAATGTTTGTATTTTTAGTGGAGACAGGGTTTCACCAGGTTGGCCAGGCTGGTCTCAAACTGCTGACCTCAGGTGTTCTGCCCGCTGTGGCCTCCAATGTGCTGGGATTACAGGCGCGAACCACCGCACCTGGCCACGTCATTGATGTTTTAAGCATCTTTTAATTTTTCAGATGGAAGAGCCCCTGTCCCACAGTTACTGCTTCTGATCCCTTCCAAGGTGACTCTGTGAGGAGGGAAAAAAGCAGAATCGGTGTGGGAGGAGGTGGGTCTGGGCCAGCTGCTGGTCCTGCTCTCCTCCCTCTCCTGCTCTCTGGGCTCCCAGGGGTGGCTGGGAACCGGTGCCATGTGCTCTGGGGGCCGTGGCAAGGCAGGGCCTGTCCTCACGTCCCCTGTGCACAACACAGACAAAAGGCCGGGTCCACCTAATGGGTGCTCCAGTGCCAGGTCAGAGCTTCCCCCGCCACATTTGCAGCACGGGGCCAGCTGGCTGCAGGTGCAGGGCTGCGCCTCAGGGTCAGGGTGCACACCCCTACGGGTCTTGGGGCTCCTGCGATGCTTCTGGAATGTCCCGGATGGGGCCTGACTAGAGCTGCCGAGGGGTGGGGCTTCTGGGAAAGGGGTTCCTCACTCCTACCTAGGGGGAGCGTCTTGGGCTTGGGGCCATGTGGTAGGGACAGAAACGGGTCCATGGCAATGTATGTTCTTTACTGTGAAGGCAAAGGACCGCTGAGGGAGTATTATAGCTGCCTCATCCGCCAGAAGCATTTCCAGAACATCCAGGTCTGCACCCCCTGGCTGGAAGCTGAGGACTACCCCCTGCTTCTAGGTGAGAGGCCCTCAGGAGGCTCAGGGAGGAGGTGGGGCCTTAAGGGTGCAGAACAGGTGTGGGAAGGGTAGACTTTTTCTGAAAAGGTTACTCTGGAAGCCACTTGGGGACAGGGACAGGGGCCTGGCCTGTTGCCGAGACCTCTGGCTGAACTCCCCGGAGGAGGCCACTTCCTGGTATGCCAGCCCCTCCCTGCCAGGTGGCCCCAGAGGCTGTTTACCAAGGGGCTTGAGGAGGCCTCCCGCTTTCAGCCTGCCACGCCCTCCATTCATTCCTCTTCCTTCCCGAAGGAGGGCTGGGCCTGGGGTTGGGGCCACTGTGGCCCAGGTGTGGGCGGGCAATGGCTTTGGGAGGTACAGGGACGATGTGTCAGACAGCCTTGCCTCTCCTGGTGAGATGGTTCTCCCTCGCCTCTGTCTCCTTCCCTGTTGATTTCTCTGAGGAGGGAATCATGGCTTGGTCCCGGTGTGTCTGTAGAGCTGGGTGGCATCTTCCAGCCTGGAGTAAGCAGAGCAGTCAGGAGCTGAGGGCCTTTGCCTGGCAGGACTCTCTAGCCAGTCTTTTTTCTTTTTCTTCTTTTTTTTAGAGTCTCGCTCTGTTGCCCAGGCTCGAGTGCAGTGGCATGATCTCAGCTCACTGCAACCTCCGCCTCCTGGGTTCAAGCAATTCTCCTGCCTCAGCCTCCTGACTAGCTGGGATTACAGGAGCCCACCACAATGCCCGGCTTATTTTTGTATTTTTAGTAGAGACAGGGTTTGACCATGTTGGCTAGGCTGATCTCGAACTCCCGACCTCAAGTTATCCTCCCACCTTGGCCTCCCAAAGTGCTGGGATTCCAGGCATGAGCCACTGTGCCTGGCCCCAGCTAGTCTTCAGAAAAATCAAGCTATTTGGCTTTGTTTTCATAGTGACAGCTGGTTCATGGTGGATGTGCTGTGAATTATTATTAACATTCTGAGATGGAGTTTCGGTCTTGTTGCCCAGGCTGGAGTGCAATGGCACGATGTTGGCACACTACAACCTCCGCCTTCCTGGGTTCAAGCTATTCTCCAGCCTCACCTTCCTGAGTAGCCGGGATTACAGGTGCCTGCCATGAGCCTCGGCTAATTTTGTATTTTTTTTAGTAGAGATGAGGTTTCACTACGTTGGCCAGGCTAGTCTTTAACTTCTGACCTCAAGTGATCTGCCTGCCTCAGCCTCCCAAAGTTCTGGGATTATAGGTGTGATCCCCCGGTCCTGGCCTATTATTATTGTGGTAAAAAAAATATAACAACATTTGTCGTTGTAACGATTTTTAAGTGTACAGCTCAGTGGCATTCACTATGTTTGCAGTGTTGTGTAGCCATCACCACCATCCGTGTCCAGAACCTTCCCATCACCCCAAACAGAAACTCTGTATCCATTTAGCAATAACTGCCAGGAGTTCTTCTAACATAAATTGTGTGGCCGGGCGTGGCAGCTCATGCCTGGAATCCCAGCACCTGGGGAAGCCGAGGTGGGCGGATCACCTGAGGTCAGGAGTTGGAGACCAGCCTGGCCAACGTGGTGAAACCCTGCCTCTACTGAAAATACAAAAATTAGCCGGGTGTGGTGGCAGACCCTTGTAATCCCAGTTACTTGGGAGGCTAAGGCCGGAGAATCACTTGAACTCGAAAGGTGGAGGTTGCAGTGAGCTGCGATTGCGCCATTGTACTCCAGCCTGGGTGGCACAGCGAGACTCTTGTCTCAAAAAAAAAAAAAACCAAAAAAAAAAAAAAAAACACCAAAAAACACAAATTGTGATTATGTAGAAAAAGTGAGTCAACTTATGTTTTCAGATGTCTCAGCCAGGTTGTGTGGTTGCTTGGCCAGCTTAAGCCACTTGGTTTGGGGCTGTTGGGCGCCTTATCTGATTTTCGCTCCCCTTGGGGGTTGTCACCTCACTGTGCTGGGAGGATTTGTGTTCCCAGGGCAGAGGCCAGCGCTCTGACTGCATCCCTCTTGCCTAGCAGGCTCGGCGGACCTGGGTGTGTGTCTGCACACGTCCTCCAGTGGCCTGGACCTGCCCATGAAGGTGGTGGACATGTTCGGGTGCTGTCTGCCAGTGTGTGCGGTGAACTTCAAGTGGTAGGAGCAGCCAAATCTTTCTGGGGACAGCTTCGGCAGCTTTGCTGCTCAGGGGAACCAGTGCGGAGTGAGCTGCCCTCAGCAAGGCACTGCCCCTTGGTCAGTCCAGCACAGACGGGTAGTCATGACTAGGAGGCCATGCGGTTACTGGGGTTGGGCTGAGCCTCACTCAAATAGTTGGCTTCCATGTAGACCTCATGTTATATTTAGGTGGGTGCAGAAGTAATCGAGGTTTTTGCCACTAAAAATGGCACTTACTGGCCAGGCGTAGTGGTGTGCACCTGTAGTCCCAGCTACTCAGAAGGCTGAAGCAGGAGAATTGCTTGAACCTGGGAGGCGGAGGTTGCAGTGAGCTGAGATCGTGCTAATGCACTCCAGCCTGGAGACAGAGCAAGACTCCGTCTCAAAAAAAAAAAAAAAAAAAAAAAAAAAGGGCAATTACTGTCCAGGTGCAGGGGCTTATGCTTGTAATCCCAGCACTTTGGGAGGCTGAGGACGAGGTCAGGAGATCAAGACCATCCTAGCCAACACGGTCAAACCCTGTCTCCACTAAAATACAAAAAATTAGCTGAGTATGGTGGCGCGCTCCTGTAGTACCAGCTACTCAGGTCAAGGCAGGGGAATCGCTTGAACCTGGGAGGGGGAGGCGGTGTCTTCTCCAGGCGGCTCTGAGACCCCCTTGGTTCTCTCTACAGTTTACATGAGCTGGTGAAACATGACGAAAACGGCCTGGTCTTCGAGGACTCGGAGGAACTGGCAGCTCAGCTGCAGGTAGCCGCATCTGCCACCCTGCCTGGGTGGGCAGAGTTCTGGAGACTGGCACCAAACATTGCTTCCTGATCCCAGCTTCCCGAAGCCAGGGTGGGACCATGTGGGGAAGAAAAGCCAGGGAGGGAGCAGAGGTCACAGAGGCCCGCCTACTGTGCTGTCTGTTTCAGTCCAGTAGGCTCGGGAGAGTTAGGACACACCCCTGTCTGTTCTCTGTGTTTACAGGAGCTGGTACTACACAAATGATGCTGGAGTTGGGTGGGCTGGGTTGCAGTTTAAGAAGTGATCAGGATCAGGGAGGTGGGTGGGTGAAGGGAGCTTCTGGGACCAGCCTTGAAAGATTGGTGAGATTCTGCACAGGATACTTGTTTCTTATTGCAAAAAGTAATACATCATTCTTGACAACTGAATGATTGGCAGGCTTTTTCTATAAATTGGAAATCTTTTAGGCTGGGGTCCCCAGTCTCCGTCAGAACTATGGGACTCTGTTGTGGTGTGAAAGCAGCCACAGACCATCTGTAGATGAAGGGGTATGGCTTTATTCCAATAAAACTTTATTTACAAACACAGGTGTGGGCCGAATTTGGCCTACAGGCTGTAGTTTGTGATCCTTGATTCAGGCAGTTTAGCAAGGCTGAAAATAATACCGACAGCCCCTCGTTACTCACAAATGGGTGGGACTGTGTTGGCGAAAGGCCGAAAGGAGGGTGCTCGCAGGGGAAGGCACAGAATGTAGAGGCCAGGGGGTGCTCCAGGACACTGAGTGTGGGAAAGTGGGACATATGGGGAAGTTTCCAGAAAGCGCGATGTCAAGTTGTAGACGGAGCACTGCTGGGGCGTGAAGGGCCTCGAGTCAGGGTGAGGGAATTAGGGACTTGGGAGGGAGCGTTGCTGGGTCGGGGACCTGGGGTCAGCCGGACAGGGACATGGGATGGGATGGGGACAGGCGATGAGGTAAGTTCTGCTCTTTTTTTTTTTTTCCTGCAGATGCTTTTCTCAAACTTTCCTGATCCTGCGGGCAAACTAAACCAGTTCCGGAAGAACTTGCAGGAGTCGGAGCAGCTCCGATGGGATGAGAGCTGGGTGCAGACCGTGCTCCCTTTGGTTACAGACTTATGACCCTTGGGCCAGAGGCTGAAACCCCACGACCCCTGCTGCCCTCCCTGCAGCTGCTTCCCAGAGCCTCAGGGCAAACCCTTTCGAGCAGCAGCTTCCCAGTGGTCAGAAGCTGAAATGACGGCAGTTTGGTGAATGAAGGGATTCCGTGGCCCAGGAAGCTGTGGTCGGCCCTGATTTGTGGAGGCTCGGAAACACTTCCTCTCTTCCGTTCTTCATGTCCCATGCTCCTGCTAGCTGCTAGCGTGTTCCTGTTCTGTGACTTCCCCGTGACCTCTGCAGTACTCCTCGTCCTGCGTTTGGTCTCCAGGCTCTGCTGTGTTCCTAACGTCTTGATTCCTGTCTTGAAAACAAGCACCCGCTGCACGGTAAGCCCAGAGACATGGCAGCCACTGCAGGTGTGGCTCTGTGAGGAACTGAGTGTCCACGTCGGGGGACATCATACTTGATACACACGTCTTTATTTGCACAGAGAAAATCCTTTTCTTGGAGCCAGAATTTTCATGTCTGATTTATGGTGATTTTCTTTCTTTCTTTCTTTTCTTTTTTTTTTTTTGAGACGGAGTTTTGCTCTTGTTACCCAGGCTGGAGTGCAATGGCGTGATCTCGGCTCACTGCAACCTCTGCCTCCCAGATTCAAGCAATTCTTCTGCCTCAGCCTCCTGAGTAGCTGGGATTACAGGCATGTGCCACCACACACGGCTATTTTTTTTTTTTTTTTTTTTGTATTTTTAGTAGAGATGGGGTTTTCACCATGTTGGTCAGGCTGGTCTTGAACTCTTGACCTCATGATCCACCTACCTTGGCCTCCCAAAGTGCTGGGATTACAGGCGTGAGCCACTGTGCCTGGCCTGTTGTGATTTTCTTAAGAACTAGAACTGCTGGCAGAAAGGGGGCACGCACAGGCTTAGACAGCTGATACCTTACTAGAAGACAATCTGTGGTTCCCGATTTGGAATTTAATATTCTTCAGACATTCCAGTCCAATGAAAGTTTTATCCACTTCCCCATATAAAAAATCTTCCCACAATAGCAACTGGATTCTCAGAAGCATGCTCGAAAGCGTGTGTGAGGCCTACAGTGTGAGTTTCAGAATTGCCATCTCCAAGTGCTCTTCGTAGGGAAACAGTTTCTGGTCGTGACGAGGTTCCGCTTCCCACGTGATCCCGGCCCGGCCTGCAGACAGAGCACATGTGTTTCAGGATGGCGGTGTTTGGAACCAGGACATGAGTTTATTGTGTGGGGCTGCAAGGACAGGCCTGGCGAGGGGTGGGAGAATGGTGTCCAAGTCAGTTAACTTGGTTCACTGGTTCCCAGGCCCACCCAGGTAGCTAGAATTGGTCTCCAGGGTGGGACCAGGTATCTGGTTTTGCATAGAAGTGGCTGGCAGCAGATGCTTTGCCCCTCTCCGCTCTCTGCCCATGTTCTCCCTGGCACTTGGAACTGCTGGACAGAAGCAGAGGTCTGAACTGCATCTACCTGGCTGCTCAGCTAGCCTACTCTTCACAAAGCTTAGAAAGCGGTCGGGCGCAGTGGCTCAGGCCTATAATCCCAGGATTTTGGTAGGCCAAGGTGGGCGGATCACCTGAGGACAGGAGTTCGAGATCAGCGTGGCCAACATGGTGAAACCCCATCTCTACTAAAAGTACAAAAATTATGCAGGCATGATGCTGGGTATCTGTAATTCCAGCGACTCGGGAGAATGAAGCAGGAGAATCGTTTGAACCCAGGGGGCAGAGGTTGCAGTGAGCTGAGATTGTACCATTGCACTCCAGCCTGGATGATAGAGCAAGACTCTGTCTCAAAAGACAAAAACAAACCCACAAAGCTTAGGAGGGGTTTGTGTTCTTATCAGCACAGATGTATGAAGAGCCATTAGCCAGAATGATTTTTTTTTTCTCTGAGATCCGATCTTCTTCTGTCACCCAGGCTGGAATGCAGTGGCACAGTCCCTGCTCAGCACAGCCTCAACTCCTGGGCTCAAGCAATCCTCCCACCTCCCAAGTAGCTGGGACAACAGGTGCATGCCACAATGCCAAACTTTATTATTTTGTAAAGCTGGGGTCCTGAAAGCATGGCCTCAAGTGATCCTCCTGTCTCAGTCTCTTTTTGTTTTTGGAGACAGTTTCACTTTGTTACCCAGGCTGGAGTGCAGTAGCACAATCTCGGCTCACTGCAACCTCCGCCTCTTGGGCTCAAGTGATTCTCCTGCTTCCGCTTCCTGAGTAGCTGGGATTACAGGTGTGCATTGCCACACCCAGCTAATTTTTGTATTTTTAGTAGAGACAGAGTTTCACCATGTTGGCCAGGATGGTCTCGAACTCTTGACCCCAAGTGATCTGCCCACCTCGGCCTCCCAAAATCTCAGCCTCTTACAGTGTTGGGATTATAGGCATGTGACATTGGACCTGGGATGGTTTTCAATCACAGTTTTTTTGTTACAAATGGAAAATTTTATAAAATATTTCTAAAAATGATATAGTATAGACATAAACATGTAGCAGTCTCTATAGTCCTGCCAACCAAATATGGCACCTGTAACTGGTGTGTATCAAGGATGTCCAATCGTTGGGCTTCCCTGGGCCACACTGGAAGAAGAATTGCCTTGGGCCACATATAAAATACACTAACACTAGCAATAGCTGATGTGCTAAAATTAAAACAAATCACAGAAGAACCCTTACAGTTTTAAGAAAGTTTACAGATTTGTGTCGGGCTGCAGGTTGGACAAGCTTGCTCTGTATTCTAGATTTTCCCCTAGAGTTACCTGAGGTAGAGATGGTTATTGTAATAAATGGTGTTTTGAGAGGAAGTCTTGCTGTATTGCTCGTGGCCACAAACTCCTGGGCTAAAGCCATCCTCCTCCGCCTCGGCCTTCTGAGTAGTTGGGAATACAGGTATTCACCACCATGTGTGGCTGACTATTATTACTTTTTAAACAAAAATGGGGCCGGGTGCGGTGGCTCATGCCTGTAATCCTAGCACTTTGGGAAGCTGAGGTGGGAATATCACCTAGGGTCTGGAGTTCGAGACCAGCCTGGCCAACCTGGCAAAACCCCGACTCTGCAAATAAATACAAAAGTTACCTGGGTGTGGTGGCACACGCCTGTAGTCCCAGCTACTTGGGAGGCTGATCTGGGAAGATGGCTTGAACTTGGGAGGTGGGAGGTTGCAGTAGGCCGAGATGGCACCACTGCACTCCAGCCTAGGCAAGACAGAGCCAGACTCTCTTAAAAAAAAAAAAAAAAGTGTGTGTGGTGCTTCTATGTGCTATTTGGAACTGGTTTTTCACTTAAAAAAATATTGCAGGTATTTTTTCACATAAGTATCTGAGAAAAGACTTCCTCGCCGCCCCCCCCCCACCCTTTTTGAAATAGGGTCTTGATTTGTTGCGCAGGCTGGAGTGCAGTGGTGATATCATGGCTCACTGCAGCCTCCACCTCCTGGCTCAATCCATCTTCCCACCTCAGCCTCCCAAGTAGCTGGGGCTATAGGCACGCACCACCATGCCCGGGTAGTTTCTATGTTTTGTGGAGATGGGGTCTCACTATGTTGGCCAGGCTGGTCTTGAACTCCCGGGCTCAAGTAGTCCTCCCGTCTCAGCCTCCTGAAGTGCTGGGATGACATCCCACGCCCTGCGCCTGGCTGGCCTCCTGTGCGAGGCTGTGCAGAACCCTGTCGTGGAGCCCAGTGTGGCTTTGTGTGCTGACTTGTTCGCTGGCTCTGTAGTTAATTGGTTGCCTGACGCAGGCCCTGTGTCATCCGTGCCTCTGTGTGCACGTGGCTGCCGGGAGGGGCTCTGCTGAGGAGGGCGGAGGCAAAGGCTGGTGGCACTGGGGGGTATGGGTGTCGTGTGGAGGTGCGAGAGCCAGGCGGCCTGGCTGCAGTCTGCAGGAGCTCAGGGGTCACTTGGCCTCCGTGTGCCCTAGTCTCTGCAGGTGAGATGAGACAGTGACAGCACACCCTCAGGTGCTGACGCTGACATGTCAGGTCTGAGGACAGCGGTTGGCCCATGACGGGGCCGGTTCCCCTTCTCTAGTCACCCTGCCCGTCTTGCACCAACGGGGTGCTCACAACAGTGGCATGGTGGATCCGCCTGCACAGCCTGGGGTGCTCTGGGGTCCTATAGGCCACAGCCTTGTCCAGCCCCTGACTCCGACTGCGTCTCCCGCCACCTCCATGTTATAGAGGGGGAAGCCGCGGCCCAAGGGCTTAGGGAAGCCTGCTCTGAAGCACGCAGTAGGACTGCTGGGCTCAGACCCTCCCTCCCTGTGCTGAGCTCCCTTCCTCCTGCCCCAAACCACCCATCCCCCAAGCCCTCCCTGCTCACTGGCCTCCGCTCAAGTTCCCTGCATGACATGGGGGTGTGGGACATCCTAGCTGTTCCTCAGTGCCCAGTTCTTCCACTGCAGTCCTGCAGGGATAGCTCGTGGTCCTGCAGGCCCAGGCAGGCGTTGGGGCTCACCTAGCTCGGTGGTGAACAGCTGGCATGTCTCTGGGTTTCGGACGGTGAAGGCCACGTAGACCTCAGGTGCCCGCTGGTGCTCGCGGCAGGCAGCCAGCCTCTGTAGGACCCCGACCAGCGACAAGATGGCCTCTGGGCAATACAGCACGTCTATGGCAAAAGCTTCAGGTTACTGAAAGGGACTGGCGGAAAGTTCCAGGTCATGCTGACCACGGCAGCAGGGCGAGGCCAGAGAGGCAGCGGTCATAGGAAACCGTGAGATGCCATGTGACCATTTGTGCCATTAGATGGAAAAGCAATTGCCTGGATGAAAAAGGAGAACCCTTGGGAGAGAAAGCTGCCAAAGATCGAAGCAAAAGAAAAAATCCCAGGACTCCTCGTATTCCTTAAAAAACCAGCTCTGGTTCTCAGCCTATCTAGAGGGCTTTGAATGACGAGAAGCCTGACTCTGCCATGGATATTGTGTTTCAGGCGTCTGCTGATTTGTTTGCTGGCTTTCAGGGTGGGCCTGTGTCCCTGGCCACTGCTGGGCCTGTGGTTTTCAGGGCTGGGACCCAAGACCACAGGCAGAGTACTGCTTGACCAGAAAGGGGACTGAGTGTGCTGGCAGGGCGAGGGATTTTCAGTGGCTCAGCCAAACGCCACCTTCTCTCAAGGGCCCCGACCTTGTCCCAGAAGTGGTTATTTTCCTCCTG